TTTGTTTTCAACAACATAAACCTGGATAGTTGCTACATGCTGCCTGGTACCGTGCGACACTGACCCAAAATCTTATTCTCAATCTGCGCTTATTAGATATCTACGCCTTTCAGCCTTATTTGCACTCGGCATTCGATATGCTAGGTACTTTTACTGTTCATGAGATTCGTTCACTGAAGTGTTGTAACTAATTCACTATTGCCTGATTAAAGGTCGAAGTGAGTGACAATGACTGTGTTACAATTCAATTTCATGGCAAAAGCGAACCGGTTGCTTTCTAATATTCGTGACCAACAATATACGAACAATTGCATCCTCTGGCAGACTATGTGTGGTGGGACAATTTATTCCTTTTAAATATTCTTAGCTTCACTGGAAACAATTATATTCAAATATTGTGTGCAAACATGGCATGTGTTCGTAAAATTTGTCGGTCGAAACATATTATTGCTATTATTGTCGAGTATGATGCATGAAAAAATCCACCATAGGTAGTAGCCAAGTATTCTCGTCAGTAATTAGAGCTATATGTAGCTGGATCGCGCATGATTTAATTTTCCGTGACTTTCATGGCAAGTTGATCGGCACAGCAGTCTCAGTTACTTAAATTTAACCTAGTCGGCTTGAATAACTACCCTTTTGGTATGTTGTCAAACCTGTCACTTGAAGGGGGTTGCAAAATCTAACGTTTTAACTGCGATTATTATTCTAATTAACTCAAGGCAGGGCGCTTACACGAGATCCAATCATGCTGTTGGGCTACTGTGAGTCAAAATAAATAGACATCGTCAGAAGGCAAATTAGATCCAGATTGCTAAGATACCAATGAGAACGGAATGCAAGTTTGGATGCACGACTCTAAATCGAGGACCACTTTGGATGAGGCAAATCGAAATCAACCTAAGGCATTACTTCCATGCGACACAAATAACGGCTCCCATGGTCTACTCAATAGGAATACAGCGTCAAACTGAAACCTCTTAAGTCCATCCTTCACCCGAATTTCTTCACCATAATATTCTATTTTATTTGGAAGTGACTTTCTGTTGAAGTGAAGCCCACCAAATCAACCTCTGAATTTAATCGTCTACCGATTAAATTCGTATCATCTGGCAGTTTTCCCCGACTCAGTGCGCAACGAGCACAATATAAGACACTAGATGTTGGCCTCCGGCTACGAATGAATCAACCTTCTCTCTGCACCATTGAAAAATTTCTCATGAACTCGGATACCACACCAAATCGCACATGTCCTTTTCTTCTCGCCACAATGAACATAAAGTAAATCTCATGTGAAGTAAATTCCTAAATGCTTAAAGCACTTGGAACTAATGGCAAAGTAAATCTGAAATAAATTTTAAACAAACATGTGGAAAATAATTTCACTGTGTGATGCCTTTTCTACTTTTTCTGCCCGCTGTTTTGTCGTTCCTTTTGGTTGCAGACAAAGGTCTGCACTCCAAAAGATGGATTAGTCATACATGAAGTTAGAGTCTCGAGGGAACAACCCTTCACTGACACTGCTAGCTATTGCCACATCGCTCGCAGTAGCAAACTACAGCCTACGGAAACGATGAATGTCCATAGAAGGGCGGCTATGTAAATGGCGAAACCTGGGATCTGTTATGAATGTGAGTGGAAAGGCGTCAAAAGTACCAACCATAACGTAAATGCCAGCTAGTGGTGTGAAAGTTTGACTGGTGCGTTCAAACAAACCCACTACATTTTAAAGCTGAAGCTGAAAATGCGGATGTTTGAAACGCAGTCGTAATATGTGGCATTATTACCAAACTTTGATTCCAGGGATACCAGAATGTATGATGCTCATAGTTCTGCATCCATCAAAAGCAGCAACTTACAAATAATGTTCATATATTCACCAATAATAAGAACGTAACAAACACAACGAGTAGTTTTGGCTTCGTGATTTATTTTTCTTCCGGCAAAACATTAAGTGCCCGAATGCAAACCCAGAAATTTTGATAATGCCAAGTTAATACTTCCTACCGTTGGTCGTGTCAAATTGAACCCGTTTATTCCGCTGACCTCCATTATTGTATAGACTTGCAACGTATACATTCTGGTGGCTAAATACGTGGGGGATAAGATAAGTTGTCTCAAGGAAGCTTGCAGTCTACTTAGAATCTTATCTGTACCTGTAAGTGTGGGACAGGCCTATATATTCCCAAGTAAACATTATTATTGTTCCTACTGATTCTTCTGTAATTCGATGGTTGCAGCACAGGGGTTTTTGAGGGGCCATGTACTTTTCCTCGAATCCCTTAAGCAGCGCCGCTCCATTATATCGGTTTATTCCTTCGTGTGAAGGGACAGAGAAGGCGGGGGTACCTGTATGTGCCAATGAACATGCAGCCCACATGTCATTGTGAGTTAACCAAGGGGCGAGTCCCCTGAAGTTTGACGAATGAACCCTTGAACTTTAGAGGCCTTGATCCCTACAAGGTGACAGTAAACGGAGATTCCAAAAGCCCCTGTGAGAGTGACGCCAAAAATATTTTTAGTGCCTGAGGGAGAGATATGCACTCCCCTCGGAATCAAAATAATATAACTGAGCCTATAACTGCCTTCTATGATAATCTAGATTGGTCGGAAGCAGGCCTTCGCCCATCCAGCTGCGGATTTCAGGCAGGCCTTCCAGAGAGACGACGACATCTGCCGGTGCCAGTAGTCCCCTAGTCATATTGTGGTCACATGCATGTAATGGAGACCGAGTTCTGAAGGATGCGATCTTAGCACATTTTTGAGCATGGCCTACCAAGTAAACTTCATTTTTTTGATTTGTAGAGGTAAACAATTTCCCGGAACCAACAGTCCGGAGGTAGATGCCGACCGTCAAAGTTCTAACGAACTGGGTGAGCTGAAGAGACAGTCGAGCATCTACACCATTTGGTACACTGTCGAGCTAGGTTGCGCCACTCGTATGCGATCTTCTAGCCAGCTAGTCGGAGCACATCGTTATCCTGGGACGGTCTGTCAGAAATGTCATTCCCAGTTGGCTACCCTGTCGCCTCCATCCTTGGTCCCGTATTCGTCAGTATTATACAGGTATGAAGGATTAGCGACTGGTCCCTGCATCCACCTAGCTGGCGTACGGACAATTTTTAAAGCAGCGAGAATAATCACGTGCTTTTCTTTTCACGGCCTTCACGAATGAAGAGGTGTGGGAGAGTGGTCTTCATTTAGGAGCAACAAGTCTGTTACCATCAGTGCGTGGTGAAACCGCTACCACTCATTTTCATTAAGTGAGCTGCTAAATTTCCAGGAGCGAGCGGCTAAAGGGGCTTGCATAGGCTGACATAGAAAGAAAGACATTTTTGCGGTACTGTCAGGCAAACAAAATCCTACCGAGTTATCAAAACTTAAGCTCCCCTACGTTCCACCGATTTAGAAAGGCTAAAGATCTACGTGCCCAGGCCCTTCAGCAATTGGAGAGCCTTGGCAGTGTGAGATTACCTTCCTCTCTCGATTGAAGTTGTGTTCGGACTTTCAAACTGGGTACTTAGTTTAATGAGAGTGCATATAGTGATTCCACAAATTACCGTTGCCCAGTGCACTAAAGTAAAGGTTACTCTCCTTTTTTATCTTTGACTTCGCCGCCCACAATTCAGGTAGGTCTTGGGGCTTACAGTGTCCCATTCAATTTTCGTCGAAAATCTACAACGAACTTCCACGCAATTTTCCAGTTATTCATGCTGTTGGCTACTTTCCACCAATCCCTCTATAGTTGAGAGTTTATGAACGTGCAGGCAGGAACGATTCATCCTAGTGCTTCGACGTAGGAAAACTAAAGGTGCATCTCACAGTCGTTTAAACAATAGTGTACCTCAACAATCGCTACCCAGAAAATTTCCCAGGTTAATCAGTATAAATGGGCTAGGCAGAATTCTGTAAATCGCACCTGGCCGTTCGGGGTGAGTTTTGCTACCATCCTTACTTTGGGCTATTCAAGGTAAGGTTTTAGGAAAGAACAGTACATCATCACTCTCTTGAGGCATCTAGCTGGCGTGAGTATGGTAAAGCCCAGGTGCTTTGCCAGCAGTTCTGTAGAAATTGAACTGATTGGCATGTGTGGTCCGCAGATGTTCCCGTGGTGGTATCCAAAACCCTACGACAACAACGACGAATGGGTTAGTGGTGGTGAAGAGGCGAGGAAAGTCGAACTCTCCGCAATAAAAGCTTTATAGACTTCCACACCCGAAACTTTCCCACCTATTTGGCTGACACCCCTAATAGGCTTTTCACATCTTCCTGGAGGGTGGTACCAAAGGCGAATCAAGGAGTGGCCTCCATGGCATTTCATTCACTTGTTCTGACTCTAAAGAAAGAAATTTCGTGAGCTTTCTGCAAAGTACAAGCCTAAAGAAGGACTCATCCTTCTCATTTCTCAGCTTTATTTGTCCAAATTAATAAGGGGCTTTCAGAATGGGTTTGAGCCCTTTCATGTTTCACGTGGTCTGTCTTGAACACTGACTTCTTCCCAGTCAGACCAGGAACATCGTGGCCGACCCAAAAGGAATAAGAAAACATCTTCCAGCTATAGCCTGAGTCAGTGAGACTTCACTGACAGCCTCTGGTGAGTCATTATCAAATTTATCATAATGAACTGAACTCTAACCTTACTAATCCTCAAAACTGCCTGTGAGATGTAAAGACTTCAGGCTCTAATACTCGCAGTAAACTAACTGTTATTCATCATCTCACAACTGTTCACTCAGTTGATGCTGGGTGGCACACTCAAGAACTTTGTCAATTTGGCTTTACCTGGCTGGTTTACACAGAGGTTATCATTTTTTACTATAGTATGGTGATTTGAACCTGGAGACCAAGTTATATCACTGTATTAGATTTCCCTAGACTACCATTTCTTGAAGGCTATAATATTTTGCAAAGTAAAAATAGTAGTGTTTTGTTTAGTGTGTCTATATTGTCGACCGGTGACCCAAAGCGCTAACGAAGAAAGTTTGTGGCCTTATTGTGAAATGGGTGTTCCTAAATTCTTCAGGTGGATTAGTGCCAGGTATCCTTGTATCAATCAAGTTTTACGTCCAGGGGAGGTAAGTAATTGTGGATTTTTGTGGTGCTATACTTTTTTGAAAAAGGCTCTGTGGTATACTCTATATAAAGAAAGTGTAGAAGCATATATGCTTCTGAATATAATTAATACTATAGTATTGATTATATTCACCCTTTACTCTTCGGATACGGCTTGACTAAGGTTCACATTTAATGTTGTACCTATTATTAAACAGAAACACTGAAAACAGACGCAGAGACAACAGGGGACATGCTCATACCACTACTGCAGAAGGTTTCGAAGGAAGGAAGGAAAGGTATCTGCCAGTTGGTTGGAAGAAGGGCTACCTTGTCAAATTCCCAAAGAAGGAAGACCTAAGCCTTTGCAAGAACTGACGGGGTTCATGTCCTATCCCTGTCCACCACAAGCAAAATATTATGCCGCATCATACTGGAGAGACTAAAAGATGTGCTGGATTCAAAATTACGACCGGAACTGGAACTGAATGGTTGGATTCAGGGAGAAAGGATCATGTGCGCATCAAATTGCAACACTATACTCAACTACGCATCATCTTAGAACAGAACATTGAATGACAGTCAACTCTCCATCTTACCTCAACTTCATCGACTTTGAAAAGGCCTTCGATCAAGGCGTCGACCGAGAAGTAATTTGGAAACTGCTTCAAGTTTACAGAGTACCACAAACCTTTATCAACCCCATCCAACATCTGTATGCTGACACCACATGCCAAGTGATCCACAATGGAAAGCTCAGCGATGCATTTGAAGTGAAGACTGGAGTAAGACAAGATTGCCGCCTACTATCATCAATCATCCTCCTGATTGTGGTCAACTGAACTGGACTGGATCATACAGCAACCCGTGAGGAGCTGTGAGAAGAGGGGCATATGCTGTTTGACCGATGAAAAGGCCCTAGTATATTGGGATTTTGCCCATGTTGATTTATGTCTAATGTCTTATAGCACAGACTCGAAGATCTGCAGACAAAAACCAACAAGTTGGCAGAAGAAGCGAGGCAGTGGAGACGGGACTTCAAGTGAATGTAGGGGAGACAGAGGTGATCAAGATACCCAACCAATAACGACAACAACAACAAGCACCAATCACCATGAACGAGAGAAACCTAAAGGAAGTAGTCTCTTTCACCTACCTAGGCTGGGCAGCATCGTTTCAACTACAGGTGGCACAGTCATAGACGACGTCAAAACTAAGATCGGAAAAGCAAGACAGGCTTTCACTAATCTGAAACCAATGTGGAGATCTACTGCACTCAGCATGTGGAACAAGATCCGGATTTTCAACACTAATGTCAGTCAAGTCAGTGTTTCTATGTGATGGCTGAGAGACTTGGCGCGTTACCAAAGGCATTTCCAACAAACTACAGACGTTCATCAACAGCTGCCGCCTACGCCTACGCTCACTCGATACTGAAGATCAGACCAGATGAGATAAGATGGATGGCCAGAAAGAATAAGCAACAAGGAACTCACTGTGGCTGGCGACGAACCAACCAAGAACTTATCGCTCGACGAATATACAGAAGAAAGTGGAGATGGATTGGATTAGGCATAGACTAAGAAGACCGATTGGGGACATCACTCGCCAGCCCAGGCCCTCGAGTGAAATCCAGAGAGGGAAACGACTAGTTGAGCGTCCGAGGCGAGGGTGACATGGAGGAGATCATGTGAGGAAGAAATGAAAGCTTGTAGGCAGTCGTGGGGCCAGGTTGAAAAGACTTCAGAGAAGAGTGTAATAGAGGCGTGCTACTGAAGCCCTATGTTCCACTAGGAAGCCAAGCGAAAAGTAATAAATAATAGTAACAATGATAATGGTAGTGATAATAAAATAATAATGATGATAATAATAATAATAGTAATAATAGTAATAATAATAATAAATATCCGGCACACTATGTGCGAACTTGTCAGCATAAATGATTAGAGAGGATTCAGAACTTTGACACAATTGTTTTACTTCTTCGTTTAGACCGAAAATATCTAGATCTTATTCTTTAAGCATTATTGTTGTCACTCCATCTGTTTGTTCGTTTGTCTGTTTATCGAAGGATCAGATCTGTATGTGCAGCTTAGACTACTATCTCGGGTACCGAGTTATCATCGGCATATTCTGTAGTTATGTTGTCGTCATTACTATTAACTTAGCAGACTTAGCGATATATTTCATGTAATATGATAACTATAGTAATAAACTAAAGGTTTTCAATTTCTTTACCTTGTGAATATATATATATATATATATATATATATATATATATATATATATATATATATATATATATATATATTAGTGCTGCATTCAGTTTAGCCCCAGGTTAAGTCAGCTCAACTTCCTGGATTATCAGCGCTATAGCTTTATTGACTTGATCTACTGTGTCGGAGTTTAACAGAGAACTGAAAATGCTGTACAGATTTGGAGGCTGAGTGTAAAGTCCATGAATTTGCACTAGTCCGTAGAATTTTGGTGATCTTGCTGAAATTCTCATTAGGTACGTATTGAATACATAAAATGCTGCAGCAACAAGGTGTGTGGGAGAGAGGAGGTTTGTGTTTATGGAGAACTCATTTGCTAATGAATTTGGTAATAATACTATACAGGTAAACTGTCACCACTATGTGAGAGCCAAATACATCATTAAAGTTAAGAGGGAATAATAGTCTAATATTTTATGCAAGTCAATGTTTTGATAATGATTTCAAATCCAATAGATATAGAAAGTAAGGAATTCCATTATTTTCAATGGTCTGTAAAGTACGGTGAACATTACATTGTACACTAGATGCTTGCTTCTACCGGTGTCAAATAAATAGAGCAGCTAAATGAAATATTTTAAAGGCAAATGAGCAGTCATAAATTATCTTAAGATATCAGTATCAGTGGAGTAATTTGATCATGTAGTGAACTTTCACGTGCTAACCTCTTCGGACCAGAAAGTCACCAAATGATCTTAGTTGTCAGTTATAACATTACGTTTGTGGCATGTGAAGAACGTGGGTTTTTGACACTGGCTATTTTTCATGTAACTACACTGACTGATGTTGACGTTACCGAAACCTCAGAAGTGTCACTTTTATAGGGTACAAGTCAGGAAACCATAATTAAATCTGCATCAAACTGACAACCACACACAGACACTCAAGGTGATATTATATGTTTAGAGGCGATTGGATGGGAACAGTGCAACTAGATTTTGTTTCCGATTAGCTCACGAGTAATGTCCGTAGTTGTGGCACTGTGGGCGCAAAAATTTGAGGGGATATTCGTTCTTTTTGAGGCTGCAGATGCACCTTGATAATGATTGACAACCTAGTTGTGGGGCTTCGTACTGAATAGCTTCAATCATTTAATATCAACCATAGCGTACTGTGATAGTGAGTCTCTTAGCTTGGGTGGCCACATTACGAAATGATCAGTAAAGTTCTTTCAAAGCTGGTCAACAAGAAGTTGCTTGCTGTTCAGTGAACAGTGTGTTAATACTTTTTGATTGTCGAATTGAAATTCACTCAGCAACCTTGTGCGCATTTGTGCAGTAGGCGAAGGGCCTTACTACCTGGCTGCCCAAAACTTCGGCAGATGGAGCGGTTTTCCCGTGACCCACTGGTTGGAATTCAGCTCCCAAAACCAATGAGCCAGAACTCCACTGAATAATGTTCTCATTTTGATAGGACAGCCTCCTAAAGCCCAAAGATAACATTTTGGTAACACTATGTAGCGTCTCGCAGTTGTATGTCAGTGTTTCTACGCTGCACATGAGCACAGCAAAAGGAAAGTCAAAATGCCCATAAGTATGCACACAGGCAAAACAGTGAAGATATCGATATCAAGAAAATGGAAGCACAGGCAAAGTAATGTGAGAATAACCTCATAGAAAAGGATTTTAAAGCTTGGAGAACACTAGTGACAGAGTATCTGTTTCCTAATAACGAATTTCAAGTTGTATAATGTATATTCTACACACTGCCTCTCATCACTTCCTCTTAGAGACCCAGCATGCACCACGTGGTGAAGAAATCGAATCAAAATGCACTGAGGAATTACATGCACATTCTTCCAGTAGACAATGAGTCACATTTACTAAACAAGGCCTTATGATACTACTACTACTACTACTACTACTACTACTACTACTACTACTACTACTATCTCAAGACTTTCATCTTCAGCCTCAGTAAAGACTAATAGGCAACCAATAGTTTTGTACTAACGAGTCAAAAACCCACCTTACTGTTCCCTAGAATACCGTGGGATTATTGTTGGCTAGATATATGAAACATCCCACTCCCTCTAACTCTTGCCGAGGTTGAATAGGCCGTAAGTAATTTGAAACCAGGTGGGGTCGTGGCTAATTGGTGTAGGTAGCTGACTTTCAACCGATGGGTCACGCAATCGAGACCTGCTTCACCTACAGAGGTTTTGGTAGCCAGATAGTATCATCAGTCCTCACGCAATAAGTATGGCTTATTGCTTACTGCATGAACGTGCATACGGTTGCTGAGCGTATTTCAGTTTTTGACTTTCGATTTCGAACCAGCAACAAGGAATGGCAGCAGAGCCAGACGGACTAGCACGTGAGGTACTCAAGGACAGTGGTCACGGATTATTGGTCAGATTAACTGAATTGTTAGCTAGTGTATAGAAGTCAGAAATTGATTCCCTGTGATTGATCTTAGTCACTAATTGTCTCAGGCTTCAAGAAAGTTGTGAAATTCGCTAGTGATAACCATCTTGTAATTTATCTGAAGAACATGCTAAAATTCACGATCCGATGATAATCAAACGTCTTAATAGAGTGCGGGGACAGAAAGCATAAGAAAACCAGGGAAGTTTTTCACTTGGTCGTGGGTGTATCGATCAGATATTGAACCTCGGTCATGTTCTGGAACACTTACCGACGCTCGACACTAGCTGTATTGCTCGATCAATGGGTGGCATTCGGCTCCAACCAAGAGGTTTTATAGCAGTGTCTCAGGGAAAGCATTGCTGACTACGTACATCATTTTGTTGAAGACTACTCAGACACCTGTTGGTGTTTTAGAGCCCATACTGAGTTATCAGGTGGCTTGTGTACGTCGAGTGGTGTGTCGGAGGTACCCACACTGCATTCTTATTCGGCTTTATCATAGAAGTCTCCCTCTCACAGTTAAACTTAACAGAGATTGATCTTATCATGCCAAAATCCTTAGAAGATATTGAGTAAGCAAATGACAGTCCTGACAGGATGCAGAGCCTTCTGGACATCTTAAGTAGTAGTGTGAGTGGTGGATCTCCCAAAATGAACGTTTTATGCCTAAGTTTTATAAATTTACCTCATAAGAAATGTGGATAAACTTGTTTGCACCGCTTTCCGCCTGAAGTGTGTCGCTCATTTTTGTCACTTTTAAGAAGGCCATTTCCCTATTGGTTAATCTTCCATTTTTAATATACTCATCTGTCGCTCCTAGGACGCTCACCCTACATAAGTGCAACAGTTGCGACCCCACGCACATGCTTTCCGGTTGAAGTAAACTCTCTTTAGTCCAGTATTGTCTTCTCCCTCCTTTAGCTGAGTGAGTTGTGGAGTGTTGTATCATTCATCCAGTATCTAAATCACAGTTTCCTAGTTAAATTTTAACAGTGAGAATGTTTGGGATGCGCTTCTTGCCATCAACTGCGAATTATCTCCTGTACCGGTTTTCACTTTTGTCTTATGTAACAATGGGACCACTTCACTTAGGAAGTCGGATCAACCCTGATGGGTCAGTGGCTGATGAAAGTTCTGCACAGATACAAAAGACTCACCTGGCTTTCACTAATTTACGCTATTTATGGGGTCATCGAGATATCCGATCGTTCATTAAGCGTAGAGTGTACTGTGCTGCATTCTGTTTTGTTCTACTATATGACTGTGAAACCTGGCCGTTTTTGATAGTGAACACGGAAAGGCTTCAGGTATTTGACCACCGTTACCTTTGTAGTATAGACCGTGTATCGTAGTGTCACCACTTCAGTAACGTAGAAGTCAGGCGTAGAAACTTAGAAAAAAGAGAAAAGTCAGTTGATGAGGTCGTGAACTTCTGTTGATTGAGGTGGCTGGTAAATGTGTTGCGCATGCCTCATTGCATTGTGTTGGCTGAAGTAGTTTTAGGCCGGAAAAAGGTTAGAGATGACCATACTAAAACACGGCATCAATTCCTTAAGTCTTTGACTTTCTGTCTGAGTCGTATAGGGAAATGTAGAATTCCCGTTTGGTGTCTGCATTTCAACAGAAACCAGGCGTTGGAAACTAGGTGACTTGGCTCAGGATTGGTCTCATTTTTGCAGATGTATGCACTCCTTTTCTTCGTTTTAACCTTCAAACTGAATTCAGTATTTTCTCAATCATCCTTTCTCTTTTTACCTCTTTCTTCTATATTTCTTTCTTTATTGGGTTCTCCCTGGATGTGCTGATATCTAGTGGCAACTTGAACCGTTACTCAGTAATCCCAGATCCCACATTGATTTTGTCTGTTACTCCATCGATCGGCGTGCTAATCTGTCACATTGTATGTTTGTGGTACTACCTGGTTATTAAGGTGGGAGTATGTAAGGGGTGATTTGAACTCCAGATACGTGCTTGAAAGTCAAATACTGGGACCTCATCTTCAATAAAGTGTGGTTAATGCCTGGCTAACATGCACTGAATAATTCGGTTGTCAATATTAGTCACTCCATAGTCTCTCTGAGTTTGGATGATGCCTCAAAGGTATTCGTAATCAAATACCTGTAACCACCTGTCTTCCACTTCCACTACATCATATATAAATCGAAATATGGCATACTGCTACTTAGTTCTATCAATTGCTATTCAACTCACAGTCATTACGCTGGTAGTGAAAGCATCATAAGTTGGCAAAAGACCAATCAGCATCTTTCAGGTGTTAAGATTTCATCAATCACCAAAAGCAATTTACTTTCCTAGCCAAATGAATTGGTCAATACACTTTTCCATATCGTTTTCGTAGGATCAAACACTAATTGACATTTGCATCGCACCGGTCACTCGAATAGTTCATGAAATACAACCGAACACAATTGCGATTAGTCCGTTGAGTGAATCTACCTCCAAAAAAGCAGACGAAAACATTAAGATTAAAAACCGGAAAATAGTGATTTGACTAAAATATTATGGTAATAGTCTTTTGGGTGGTAAAATACTACCTAAAACTTTTATTGGTGAGTGTCTAGACCTGGTTTTTCGGTCCTTATGTACCTCCCTTTGACTTCTAGACGTAGATGTGTGAGTAGTGAAATCTCCATGTTATGTATCTGAGCATAAATTAAAATAGTTTATCTGTATTAAATACGTGATACAACTTATAGTTTCATCGTATATGTTCATTTGCAAAGTTTTCTGTCTCGAAATATTCCAATCTCAGGCTGCTTCGTAATTGGAGTAAGTGCTTTTCTTTTCTCAAGGTTCCAGTCATCGATCACCTTTATTTGGATATGAATGGCATATTACACAATTGTTCACACCCAGAAGGTTGCAAGATATCCCTTTCTGAGGAAGCCATTTTCAGGAATGTCTGTCTTTATGTTCAGGTAAATACTCCATCGTACTTAAATTACTGTTTAGTTTTTATTCAATCTCATTAAGCCACGTAAAACTTTCTATTTGGCCGTTGATGGTGTTGCTCCCAGAGCTAAGATGACTCAGCAGCGTGCTCGTCGCTTCCAGTAAGTTTCTTTTTGGGTACACTTGTAGATTTTTTGTGAACATCTATTACGATACATCTTGTAACTTTCTTACAGATCTGCACTAGAAGGACGTAAAGCCAAAGAGAACTTGAAAGATAAGTCACCGGACATTCAACCTTTCGATCCGTGTTTAATTTCGCCAGGTATGTATAAACATAATTTAATTGCTACTGATGCAGTCACTAGGTATGATTATCTTTCTTCCTTAAAGTCATAGGTTTATTCGATTACCCACATCATCATTACTGTATAACGGTCGAAGTTGCACACCCTATATCAGCACACCAAGTAACAAAGCAATAAGACGAAAGATGGAGAAGTAAAAAGGAGTCGATCAAAAGCAATAAAAGATAAGAGGGAGGAATGAGAAAGTGTTGAAGATATGGCGATGAAGATTAAGATGATGTATGAATCCATCTACGCCACCACGTAGAATCTGCGACCACTGGATGGACCCTAGCCCCCTAGTCTGCACACCCCCCCTACATGTCTCAGACCAACAGTCAAAGACTTGATGCACTGATGCCATGTTATAGCTAACCATCCCTATCCTTTTTCCAACCTGAACCTACTTCAGCTAACATTGCGCGATAAGGCGGATAGTTACTAGGCGTGTGTTGTGAAGCCCTGGTTTTGCATAAAACACTGTTATTGATCTGAACCTTTTTAACTTGTCATTCTCACACCATTTTTACTCTATGACTAGTAGTTTATTTTCTGCCCCCATTGTAATGTAATTTGCCGATCAGTTAATCTCTACTCTTACTATGCCAATGTCTCAAATTGCGGACAAGGTCATTTTTCATGTATGTACTTGTTCATGTGTTTTGGGATTTATCATTATTATATTCTCGGACAAATAAACTCCCATTCATCCTTTTTTGGTCTTCGACCCTAATACACGTTACTACACGTCAATCGTATCTTCTCCACTAATTAGTCGGGTTGGGAATCAACTAGGAATTTGTTGAATGTTGGTGTATGAAAGTCGATATCTGTGCATCGTTAGCGACCATAATATATAGCAGTCTTCTAAATCATAACAGTTTGCGTAACACATATCTTAGCCAACAGGATTATATTGCACTGTGTAATCCTATTGAGCTTCGTATTAAACAGAGTACAGAAAAATCATCCTAGTCCAGCTTCGACAGGTGCTTCCATTGGATTATTCTATTGTATGAATTACTTTTTCTATATATATATATATATATATATATATATATATATATATATATATATATATATATACATATATATATATATCAGGCGTTAGCTGGAACTTCACTTAGAAACATAGTACATAGTGATAAAAGTAGTCAGATGTGGCTGGAAGTTAAAGCCAGTAGCAGTTCTGCTGTAATGCGACCCTGGACTGTAATAGAAACCTTATGTACCCATTTCACTTTTTCTGCCTGTTCTCTTATTGTGCAATTGAGCAGTTCGTAGAAAACAGCTTGAGCAAATACTACATAAAGTTCCTCTGTCCCATCTCATTTATGGTTGTCTGTGCACTGCTTGAGAATCTCAAACTATGATAGGTTAGCTGTCCAGCGCCCCTGGGCTTTCAGCTGTTCCATCGCTTATCCTTGTGATCCATCATTTTAATCTTCATGCTACTGGATTATTTTAGTACATCTTTTTTGACCATCAAATATTATCAATTTCATGTTAAAACAAATAAACGGAACAACCCTTTACATGGCTTACAAGATATTAAACTGCTTGCCACCACAAGTATTGCATCTAAAACTATAAATTTGGAACCGTGTAAAAAAAAAGCATGCATATTTTCATCTTACAATATCCTTCACCAATTCACGTTACAACTTATTTCATTACTCACGTGCACATGTAAATATAACAATCATTTCAAATTTATGTAACCAACTTGTGTTTCATAATGTGCGAGTATTTTTTAGATTTGTGGCCTAGTGTTACTGTGCTGGAAGTTTCGCAACTTCCATGTCTAGCGCCATGTTGTCCTTTAAAAAGTTGACTTTCTTATCGCAAATTAAGTAACAATAAGTAAAGTTTTTCTAAGTAAATAAGCCTAAATGACAGCTGCTTGCAGAGCGGTTAACTTATACTGTTTCGGAATGAGACTTTTTATGAATCCAGTTGCAACCAGAAAGTAATTTACGTTGTACGTCATCTTAGTCAGTGACACTAAGAAAGAACGTTGAACAACATCGAACTCGAACCTTCACCTGTTAAGTATCAATCACTGTGCCTTCTTATGCAGCTAAAAGTAGCTTTCGGTGACTATATAGACCAGTAGTATGTCAGTTTAGGATACTAAGTCGGTCAGTATCATCAGCATTACTGCCTAGAACTCTGTTGCCACACTACACATGACGAACGACAGAAAAACAAGTAAATTAAGTTGTGAAAATCAAAAAGCTACAAAAAGAGAGGGTAAAGCCAACAAAGAATTGTGACTTGAAGTGTAGGTGAGGTATAGATGAATTGGCACCACTGCGATCGATTTTAACCCTATCGCAAAAACTTTCCAACTATTGATTACGGGTGTTATGGGGAGCCAAATTGGCTAGTTTACAGTTCCATCCTCGGCTCATAACAACAGTCAGAGACTTCATGAACTGATGCCATGCGTTGTCTGGCTGTTTTTATTTTGACCTTCCTCCAACATAATCTTATCCCGTCCTATTTTGTTCACACAGTAAAACTGTATTATTTATTGGATAACTTCTCGAACACAATTTATTCTCCATTTTCATACCAAAGAACTAAAATTCACAAAAGTCCTCAGGTTTTCCTATACGCTAATCTTATTCCATCTCACATCTTCGGAGTAGGTGCTGACAAGGCTAGGGTCGCATATGATAAGAAGGCGATGTTCGTTGAGCACCCAAAGCCTTTTCATGTCCTTCACCTTTAACGACCGTTTCAAAATCATGGGCCAAGCTAGAGGGAACTGCTGCATAGTACACTCAACCCTTATACGACAGTCGGATACCTTACAGGCGCCACATATAGTGTAATTTGGGGAAGGACAGATAGGCTTTTTGAATTTATGCAGAGATTCAACCGGTCACTGACTCATGGGGGCTGATCTGATTTCCCGAGTGAGTGGAAGGATCAAAGTGTTCATCTGCTTCACTCTCCATTGTCAGGCGAGACATTAACGCAAACCAGTGTTCAAGCAACAGTCTGCATTTGAGAGGAAAGGAACACATCTAAGACATTTTCAAATAGTTACTCATGATGTACACAACACTTCACCTTGTTAGTGTATTCACCCAACGGGACTATCATCTATGTGCCGGATGTCTACTTAGGAGTTTCCTCTGACCAAGTCAGATGAGGAGAGGAAAACGCGCGAAATTAAGAATAAACAGTGGGACTCTTTGACGAACACAACCTGACCTCTCAACGTAAGATGAATCATGTCCACGGGTATTCGAATACAGTCTTAGAGTAATATACTTGTCCAGCACCCCTCTGAGTTAGAGACATTGGGATATGATGTCCCTGTCGATAGAGTTGAATGACACTTTCTAGTGAAGAAATGCAGCTAGTGTTAAGCATCTGTGTGGTATCATGTTCCAAGATCTAGTGGAGGGTGGATATCTCGTCGATACATCTATAATCAGGTGGGAAGCGTGTCTGGCTTTTCGGGTTTGCTGTTCTCGAGTTTCACTTGTGCGACTGATGATTATAGGACCTAGGCTTTTGGACAATATTCTAGTCTGACTGATTACCCTGTGGTTACTACGTGAGCATCTTTCTTTTCTTAAAGACGAACAATCAGCGACTGAGACTAAGTCTTCATATGACCTCAAGTAGTGTTGGTTGGTCTGATTGCATGTTGCTGTAAAGTGTAGCAGCTTGAAAAATACACCTCTGTGTAAAGTTCTACATTGATCTATCTGTTTGTGTATCTAAATGTGAGGAAGAAATGTTTTTTAAAACGTCAGGTACCAATTGTAGCCATATCACGTTATATACCATTGTTAAACGGTACACTTAAAATCCCCAATAATAGAAGTATTTTCACTTGACATTTGAGAAAAAAATCACAAGGAAATCTCCAACTAAGCAAAAAACTTGCCCATTTTTATAGTTATAGATGTGGTTTCCTCTCATATAAATATTTTCCACGCTCCACTTTTAGGTACCGAGTTTATGGAGCGACTACATCGTCATCTTGTCAACTTTGTGGAGAACCATGTAAATCACGATGCTGATTGGCAGTGTATAGATGTGATCTTATCCGGACATGATGTGAGTGTTTAATTATTATCTGTAAGCATTAGAAATTCTCATCATGCAAAATTCCCCATAATTTATCTTCACTTAGTACCACTTAGGCATTTGAGTAACCAATATCTAAATGGGAAAATTAGTTAATGTAGGATTTTGAAATTATTGTTGTTTAGCTTTTGTTGTAAAATAATCAAGGATTTCTTCGTTTTACGAAATATCCGTTAATTTCTATTACATACTGCTGACAAAAAATGCAACTGGGTGATCCCCTGAATCTTTGTGCAATAGGTTATGAGCCACACATATTAGGGTTACCACTACTGTCTGAATACTAAAGCCCTGATACTTTAAGCGAATTTGGAATCTATTAGCCGTTAGTCGAAAATACACTACTTAGGCGTTCTTAGGTCACAGTATGTCACGGTAAATTGCTCAAGGCGTGTACCTCCTGATGTTAGGTACTCGTTACCTTTTTTTGAAAATATTGCTTGAATCCGAGTAGTTGGATAGTTCTCAGGACGGTTGCATCCTGTAAGTAAATAAGTAGTAAAATAAGAACAGCTATATAGATATATTTGTTTGCAAAGTATATTGTATGTCACATTTATGTTTCTAGGTAAAATCTTTTACACTCAGTTAATAGTCTGAAGGAAACAACAGACACCATATTTTGTTGTTTTCTCTTCATATACATACGTGCTATCAACAGTAAATTATCTTATGTATTGTGTGTTATTCATTATATTTAAATGCTTCAGAAGGCTTATAATTTATTGTTTGATAGGCGGATGTAGTACAGGTCTAAAATAGCTTTGTATTGATCCAAGTCACCACACTTTCTGTATCAGTATATCGGATTGGCAGCCAGAAAGAAGAATCAGCAAAATGAAAATAAAAGAGGCTGTTGTAGAAAGCACTAAAGGACAGAAAAGAAGAAAATAGGCAGGAAATGCAGTTATATCGTGACAATATATTTCAGATTTAGATGACTGTGTTAAAAAGAGCGACCACTTCCCGAAACTTCGACCCAGAAGGGCCTAAAAGCTTAGTGTTTGTGATCACATCGTCCTAGAAAATTCGGATGTTTTCAGAATTCCGAATATATATATATATATATATATATATATATATATATATATATATATATATATATATATATATATATATATATATATATATATACTCCTTGCCTACTGCTGTCTGACTAGGGATTCAAATATACAGTGTTATCAGGTTCGTTATATATACATCCGTTTTTTCGTCTGAGTGTAACGTATTGTTGTATCGAGCGCTTAACCATCAATCATAACATAGTACATGGTGTGGATGTATATGAGTCAATTCAATAGATTTTGAGCTATATCACACGTGAATACTTGTTTTCTTGGAAAGCACTGCTGTAACTTTTCAATTTAAATACTTAACTCATTCCGATACATATGTCTGTGTACTACACTGTTAGCCACATTATTGTCGGAAGGCTAACTAGTTCCAACTAACATATGGATGTTAATGTTTACAGCCTCTGTGACTTGTTAACTTTTAGTATTGGTTTGTAAGATATCCTTAGTTTCAGTTTCACAATATGTGTGGCACTGTGGTTCATTGGTTTAGGGAGATGATTTTCAACCAATGGGTCACTGGTTAAAGCTCCTCTTCACCTACCGAGATTTGGGCAACCAGACAGTGGTATCATTAAACCTCATACAATAGGCGTGGCCGATTGCTTACTACACAGACGGGCAGTTAGCCTATTTCAATTGAAAATACGGCGTTTCTTAAAGCTCATTACTGCAGTAAATAGTTAATTTTGGTAATTTGTTTAAAATACTCTTGACCCTCTTCTTACTGGTACCGTAAGTTTGTTAAAAACTACCTACTTATCATATTCAACAATGTGTAAGAAGTCAGTCATTTACACTTCGAATGTTTTAGACTTATTTCGTTTCATCGTAGCGGTTGACCGTAAATGAAAGTGCTCACAGTAAATAGTAGTTGCTTTGGTTTTGGGCTTTATTTCTACTTTTATGTTATAACAGTCATCAAACTTCATCTTTCGTATCCAGTAAGAAGGTAGTTTCATACAGTTTTTGAATAACTCTCGCAAAAGTGAAACTGACAGAAAGGTTACGAGTTTAACTTAATATCTGAGTACATTATACACTGTAAGTAAGCTTCAAACATCCTTCGGTCATGACTGGATAGGATTGACATGCTTTTTTTCTTGCCCAACTCTTTTACTGAAAAATACTTTTGTGTCATTGAGAAATGTTGTATTTCGGTTTCTCTTCAGTTGTTTTTGGTACTTGACAATTGTCAACATTAATAAAAAGCATCAAAACTTGGTTGTGATGAATAGTCATCTGCCCTCAACAAGGAGTTATATATTCTTGGTAAACATTTGATTTATGGGAGGGTGATTTGAAAGTAATACTTTCAGATCTGTAATACTGAGATCAACATTCGAAAACTATACACATATCAACCTCCCTGCAAATCCTGATCAGTATGTGCTTAATTTTTCGAATATTTATCTTTGAAAGATTTGAAAGTATTATCTATAGGGGGTATTCTCCTTAAAGCTGATAGAAAAGGTATGCAACTTCAGTTAGATAAATTGAGCTGTTTTTTTCAACTTACATCTTAGTATATCGTGAATGTTACAATTGAATATTTGTTTAATCCTTTGTGATGTTTACACTTTTGTTTGTTTTTATGATATGAAGCAAAAGCGTACAGTAGTTTTTCTAAATGATTTACGTTATTAGTTTAGAGAGGTGACTTTCAACCAAATGGGTCACTGGTTTAAGCCCCACTCCATCTACTAAGGTTTGGGCAACCAGGTAGTGGTATCATTAACCCTCATACAATAGGTGTGGCTGATTGCCGCCTATTTGCACGAATTTGTACGAGGTTGCTGAGTGCACTTCAAATTTCTTTTTTCTCGACATCATAAAGTATACAAAAGGAAAATAGTTTTACAGTGAGGGTGTCAAGCACTTTTTGGTAATCGTTAGAGTTTCATTTTAGGTCTTAGTTTTTTTTCTTCTACATACTGCTACATTTGGGTTGCTATTTTAACCAGAAATTAGTCTACATACCTTCATACTATTGTGACGTTTATGAAATTACGGTCTACTGAAATGAATCAACTGTTTATTGATTCACTGTCCGGCTCACTTCCTATTATTCACTCACTGCTTGAATAGTTTTGTTAAAGATGATTCTTGATTTCTTTAGTGCTAAATGCTTCGGTTAGTCTTAATCATATTACTCATTTTCTCAAGTATTTTTGGATTAAGTATTGTTCATTTCATTCAAAAAATGTTAACAGTGGACTACTTATCAACATTTGTTTTTTAAAATTTCATCATTAACAAGTGTCCAGGAGAAGGGGAGCATAAAATTCGAGAGTATATGGCTTATCGTCGTAGTTCACCAGATTATCAACAAAATGAACGTCATTGCATATATGGAATGGATGCTGACTTGGTAAGCTCGGTAGATTTTTAAGAAGTTATAAAAAATATTTTACTGTTTGTACATTCAAAATGCGATTTACTAGTCAATTCTTCTGGGCCCATCACATAGGTAGCAGACAATTGTTGGGACTGACAAACTGCTACATTTCCATCTGTTTTGGATTTTGTTTTATGGTTTGGTTGTTCTAACACTCGATACGAGGGATCCATGCCTCCGGCTCCAGAAGACCGCTGGAAGGGGGAGTCCTTTATTTTTGGGTCCGACTTCCCCTCCTTTTTCTCTTTGGGAAGGCAGCATGAGCGTGGTACTGCTGGTCATCCATGGGAAGCACTTTACTGTTTTCATACCCTATCCAGGAAGTAGTACAACTTCGCCATTGGGTCTCCATCATAGTGTAGCAATTTACACTAAAATGGTAACTGCTTTTCGTCTTAGCACTATCCAAAGACATTCCTAGCAAGGTAGGACCTTGAGGAATCAAGCGTTTCAGTCAGTGTAGCTTGTTGGATCATTGTGATATGCAAGCCCGACCACCGCATCAGGGCAGCAGCAATCGACCACCCAGGTTTCAGACCTGAATGAGGGTGAATCGATCACATTTTCACCCTCCAACAAGTCCTGGAACCCTGCGGTATTTAGCAGAGGTTGACGCTTGCAGTATTTCTTTACCTGAAGGCGCCGTTCGACTCCTCCATGATGTGTTATGGCAGTATCTGACTTTGAAAGGAGTATCGAGTAAGTATGTAACGCTACTCTAACCTCTCTACTCAAAATCACGCAGCCATGTGAAAGGTTTTGGAGAGTTGCATTTGGATTCAAAATAACCAGGAGTCTCCATTAGCCACACCCACTATCAGAGTTCTTGGTTAAGTTCAGCATAGATATGCTAATAAACATAAGTGTAGGTACGCCTGACTTCTCAGGGATTGGTCTACTGCCTGGAGGTCATGTGTTCGACCTTAAGTATTCAAACGATGTTCTACTTCTGGGTGAAGACTCTGACAAAATAAAGGGCCTTATGAACCCGTTGAGCAGAAAATTTGAATATATTTGACATACGTTTCACACCTTTCAAATATAAGATGATGCTCCAAGACCGGTCTGCTGCATCCACTCCCAGTTTGAATGATAGGCAATGAAGTGGTGCAATCTGCCAACCACTCCACACACTTGGAGAATTGCATAAACTCGAATGGGATGGTTGCTGACACAATCTCAGCTCGGATATAGAAGGCCCCCTTTTCACATTTGCCAACTTATGTTACCTGTGGTGCCGACTGGCGAGACATCCAACAACCTGTCAAAGTACGAGTATGCTGCATAGCAGTCCGTTATCTCCTGTTGTACGGATGTGAGACATGGCCGTTGAAAGTGGAAGGCATGAAGCAACTACGGGGTTTTGATCGCAGACGTCTTCGTAGCATTGCTCGCTTTTGGCGGAATCACCATGTGAACTATGTTGATGTGAGGCGAAGGGTACTAGACAAGAAAGGCTTGCGAGTCGGTTGATGAGGTTGTGAATCTTAGTCGATTAAGATGTATTGGACATATACTGTGCATGCCGAGTCACCACCTACCTCGACGTGCCATGCTAGAGGAAGCTGGATTAGTTTTTTGGGAGACCGAGGTTGAGGGTAGCTAGACCAAGACGTGTCGACACCAGTCGATGAAGTCGCTTACTGTTGGTCTAAGTCATGTGGGGAGATGTAGACTGTCTAGTTCGTATCCCCGAGGATAAAGGAATCAGTGGCTAAGGGCTCTTGGTGACATGACTAGAAGTTAGTCATAACGGAATAAATGTATTCACTCCTTGACATCTAAAGACTGAATATTTGCACTGACCGTTATCTTTAAATTCTTTATTCTCTCACACAATTTTGTCTACTTTGATATCACTCGTTTCCTATCGACCTGTTCTTTGTGCACTACTGTGAAATGTGGAAACCTGACCCGATGCACGTGTGTTTGAGGTCCTACCTTGATTTTGTTAGTGTCAGTCAGTCATCTGTCTAGTTAGGATTTGCCCCACTGAACGTGAAACTAACCGCTTTAAAACCCAGTCAACCAATAATTTTTCTGAACTCAATGTCCATTCTTCACTTTTCATCTTAAAACCTTTAAACCCAACAGGTAACGAAGGTGTGATCATATTCTTAAGGATAGATTTGGATTAGGAGTGATATCCATTAATCATACAATGTTTCCTGGTGAATGAATTTGTTCGTCAACAAGTGCTCTTTTTCCTTTTTATACCTATTTTGTATATCTTATTTATAGCACAAAAAGTAGTAAATATTGAAGAAAATTGATCATAATTTGACGATTAGATTCATTTACACACAAAATTTTTATTGGTGGTAAGCCCCTAGGTTTAGACAGCTACATCGGTTATCAGTTTCCTCGTTGTTGCAGATGTGATTTGCTGATGAGTATCAATAAACATGAAACCTAGGTCCAAGGTTTCTTGTCGACCGACTCTCACTATCTAATACTGATAAGTTTGCAACCGAAGCTTAACTGATTGAAATAACAGAGGCTAGTAGACAGTCTAGACTTACTAAAGAGACTGATAGGAAAATTTGACAGTTAATTAAACTGTAACTGAGAAAGATAGGAACTCTGGGAACGAACCAACCAAGAACCTATTGCTCAACAAAATGCAGAAGAAAGTAGAGATGGATTGGGCATACACTGAGAAGGCCGACTGGGGACATCAAGCGTCAGGCCAGTTGCTCGAGTGAAACCCAGATGGGAAGCGACGAGTTGAGCTTCCGAGGTAAGGGTGACATGGAGGAGATCGTGCGAGGAGGAAATGAGAGCTTGTAGGCAGTCGTGGAGCCAGGTTGAAAAGATTTCAGAGAAGAGAGTGGGATGGAGACGTGCTACTGAAGCCCTATGTTCCCAAAGGACAAATAATAATAACTGAGAAAGATAAGCTAAAATATCGCTCATATTATCATAAATATTTTCGTTAGTTATTTAGTGATTCTTAGTCTAACTCTTAAAGGTAGATAGAAAGACAAAAAGTTATAATTGACTCTACACAACAGTGTATCAACTTTAGTTGCTGCACTTCGAAGACAATACAGCAAATTAAAACCAACAACACAGAAATATAATTAATGAAACTAGTGATACAATTACTGTGAATTAACTGAAAACGATGAAATGGTTCACAGTTTACATCAAAGAATCAAAAATATCTACTGTATGTACAGATGGAAGATAGAAAAAGGAATTAATCTCTTTTATCTTGGATGACTTTAAAAGTTGTTAACTTGGATATACAACTACTACCCTTCAGTACCTTTCATTTCCTAATCAGGAGACTTGGATAACTTTAAGTCGCAGTTAGTGACCTCATGGAATTACTATGTTGACTATGGAACTCTGATTAATTGTATTAAACTTTCAACTAGTACTTAATATAGATTCGAAATTGCTTCGGCTACCGACGTTTGTGTAGTCAAATAGTATCATCAGGCATCATACGGTAGATATCGTTCGTCGTTTAAGGTAAAAACCGGTAAACCCGTTTCTGAACTGCATTTTACCGTATTTTATGGAGATCTATTTTTTTATCATTATTCACAATACTCACGAAGGTAATGTTGTGTGTTGCTGCCTTGTCAAAGTGTGACTCAACTGTCCTGCTAATTAGACTGCAAACCAGATCAGTTTACGCACAAAAGGGTGTATAGGAATACTAAATAAGAGTAAGAGGTTAGTGATATTTAACACCGTGAAGGAACCTTAAAGAAGATTAATTATATTGAATTATCAGGACTGATCTAGCTCATATTCGAAATAGCTATTGAGTTCACAAGATGTGAAATAGCTCTGCTTGAAGATGTCGAATATGTTCATTCATAGCAAGTGTTATGCATGCTGTTTGACAATGTGTTTAGCATCATACTTTTGTTCAGCGTTAATAAGACTAGGAATTCATTCTTTCATCAAAAACACTTTTTTCTTATTACTGCTGTTTAACATCCAGTTTTGTATTAATTCTGTTTTTCGTTTAGATATTTTTAGGTTTGACAACTCATGAAGTTAATTTATGTATTTTGCGTGAGAATGTTGTCAAAGTTCAGTAAGTTTAGTGTCTAAGATTATCACATTTTAATTCTTTATTGAAACAGTTTGTATTGAAAGATTTCGTATACAATCACTCCCAAAACTTTATTTTAGCACTAAACTAACCTATAAAAGTTTAGGCGTTTTGGTTGATGTATTCCATTGTACGCTATGCTTATCGTGTGTAGGTTAGCGGTGGCAACACTATACCGTACAAATTAAAATCAGTAGAATGAAAAATCATGTGATAACCGCATGGTCTTCGTTCAGTTACGTAAATCACAGAGACATTTTGGAAACATACTAAAGATTCCTTTTAAAATCCTGATAGGTATACGGGGGTGGTGAAGGCATTTAGAATAGTAACATTTCTTTGGCACTTAGTTCATAACAAAATATAAGCAAATATCTTTTCTGTGTAGGCGTGCCTTGAAATCATACCTAACTAGGGTAAACACTTGATCTTGGATGATTTGCTTAGACCTATTATCTGTTCTTTAGCTCTGATGCTTCAAATATATAAGTATTTTCGTTTTGTCCACATGCCTTAAACTGTTCTCACTGTTGGTGACTGAAAGTTTTGTGAGCGAAAAAAGAATTTGAAGATAACGGCCAGTGCAAATATTCAGTCTTTAGATGTCAAGGAGTGAATACATTTATTCCGTTATGACTAACTTCTAGCCATGTCACCAAGAGCCCTTAGCCACTGATTCCTTTATCCTCGGGGACACGAACTAGACAGTCTACATCTCCCCACATGACTTAGACCAACAGTAAGCGACTTCATCAACTGGTGCCTCCAAGTCTTGGTTTGGCCACTCTTAACCTCGGTCTTCCAACGTAATTCAATTTCGAGGTACGTGGTGACTCCGTATGCGCAGTATGTGTTCAAGCCATTCCAATCGACTAAGATTCACAACCTCATCAACCGATTTGCGTTTCCTGCCTAGGATCCTTCACCTGACCTCCACATTGTTGACATAGTGATTCCGCCAAAAGCGAGCAATGCTACGAAGACGTCTGCGATCAAAACCCCGTAGTTGCTTCATGCCTTCCACTTTCAACGGCCATGTCTCACATCCGTACAACAGGAGATAACGGACTGCTATGCAGCATACTCGTACTTTGACAGGTTGTTGGATGTCTCGCCAGTCGGCACCACAGGTAACATAAGTTGGCAAATGTGAAAAGGGGGCCTTCTATATCCGAGCTGAGATTGTGTCAGCAACCATCCCATTCGAGTTTATGCAATTCTCCAAGTGTGTGGAGTGGTTGGCAGATTGCACCACTTCATTGCCTATCATTCAAACTGGGAGTGGATGCAGCAGACCGGTCTTGGAGCATCATCTTATATTTGAAAGGTGTGAAACGTATGTCAAATATATTCAAGTTTTCTGCTCAACGGGTTCACAAGACCCTGCATTTTGTTTGCATCTTTACTTAACGGGACAACATCGTCTGCTTGCTTAAAGTCAACCATATGATATCAAGAAGTAATGTCTCGGGATTTTCGGCAAATTTAAGTTCCTTAATATAGTCATTGCATCTATCATATTGTATAAGTTGAGTAAACTGCTCTGGTGCATCATTTTATGCTTTTTGGTTCACGAGGCATGACTGTTGACGGTAGTAGAAATAACAGAGAAGTCAGAAGTTTGAACCCCACTTAATCCAGCTATGCTGTATGTGAGCGACCAGGTAGTAGTCTCATTAGCCCTCACTCAGTGAGTGCGGCTCATCGCCCAGTACACGAGCGTGCATGCAGTCCCTTATCTTACGATTTAGTGATTATCTTTACATAATGAGGTGGTTGCGATGGTAGTCTCGATTCATATCGATAGAACACTTTCATACTTTGATTAATCTGTTCAGAATCCTGACCGAAAAATCAAATTATTCTGTAAACAGGGTCATGGTTCAATCATGCTCTCCTGTATAACTTTCGAAGGTTGGAAATCCCAAACCTTTTTTGTGAGACGAGTGCGCATTACTCCCACTGTGAAGCCACAAATAATGTATCTAGAATACTCAAAATTAGTTTCGATAATAGGAAAATACTCCTTGATAAATGCGTAACCAGTGTTTCTTCTTAATACATACTCAGTTATTCTAGATATCTCCACGTGTCATTTGGCCACATTACGCGTTAGTTAAAAGATATCTACTCATGAATGTTAGTCGCATTTTATACTGTAGTGAGTTTCCTCTTTTTCACTGAATACATAAGGCCTAGTTTATGTCGTTCATTCATTTTCCTAAATGATACTGTTGTGGTATTTTATCATCGAAATGGATATACTTATTATCGCCTTTTTGTAACGTCGGCTCATAGTATACCGTTATTTTCTAGAAGAAACTATTGTCTAGTAGTATACAGCATGTACCATTCATTAGTTTTATACTGTTTCCCAATACCAAGTATTTTAGGAAAACAAAGCACTTTTGTCGTGACATTCAATTTCATAGATTCTATCAATAACAAAAAATAAATACATTGCATGGAGAGTGATTTCACTGCAGGTTATTTCCGAATTTTACAGATTACTTTTTTGTTGATCATGTAGACTAAAATTATTGTACAATTAAAAATATTTGAATAAAGAACAAAGTTTTTCAGCAGGATTACATGGATCTATTACGTTTCGGAGTTTCACCTCGATTCGGTTAAAATTTATCTTCTAGAAAAAAAGATGATTTACGTTACTTAATTGAAACAGGAGAACTAAATGATTAGGCCTACTTGATAATCGTCATGTGCTTTAAACTACCGAAGTGCAAAGTAATTTTTCAAGATTGGCAGGAGCCTGCGCCTACGTCCATCCTCAGCAGAGAGCCTTTGGAAGTAGTCGAAAAGGTCGTGTATCCGGGTATGAGTGATGGTGGAGGTCTGTGAAAAACTTTCCAACTGCATATCGAAAGACTGAATGGTATACACCAATCTAGACCACCTTTGGTACCGTCGAGACGTTAGTTTGACCGTAAAAGGTCAGGTTTATAACGCTTTGGTCTGAGCAGTTCTGTTCTACATCTGTGAAACCTGGCCTCTCCGAGCTGAGGATGTGCAATGTGCGTAGGATTGATCGTATTGGGTAGCAACACCATGTTAGTAATTCTGAAGTACGACAGCATGTATTTGGGCATGATTGAGATCGTCATTCAATCAGTGAAGCCATCTGGAAACACCGGCTTTGATGGCTTGAACATGTTTTCCGCATGTGATTCCAATTGCTTCCACACCGTTCATTGTTTGTTAGCCCTGAGACAGGATGGAATAAGCGGACGGGTGGTCAGTATATGACGTGGCGCCATGGGATGAAGGATAGTTGTGTCAGGTTAGCATCTGTTGTTGCATCACAACTGTCTGAGTGGGGTCTGAGAGATCACACAACCCACTGGCTTGAGATGCTGAGAATAGAAACCAGTGATGGTCACGCTGTAGCTTCCTTCTATCTTCTGCTGTTGAAAAGTAATGAATATTTTGTTTTGAATGTATCTTACTGGACCATCCTTCTAATCATGCTGTTCTTACTATTTTTCTTTCTTACTTATTCACTTCTCTTCAATTTATATCTTCACAGTATTTTTATATTATTTTGTGTGACACATTTCTAGGTGCCCTTGCTGTGCCATGTTAGTGTTGAATAATAATTTCTTGTTACATTGGAAAGAAAGGCCACTAGCACTACAGTATTCATAGGAGTGAAACAGCTCACACAAGTCTTATTTAATGTCTTAGACTAAAATTAACAGTCTGACCATTTGACGTAGACCATTGGTTTTTGATTAAGGAAATAAGCAGCTAAAGAGGAACCTCGAACTATAATAGATCTGTATTGTTATTCTAAATTTATCAAGTAAAATGTAATATGAACATCTTTTTCAAATTTAATAATTAACTTCATTGAGCCGTAGATATTGAGACGGTAGAATTCACTTCTATAAAAAGAAACGAAATTTCTTTTGGATGATCCACTCACGAAAGCATATCATGTGTGATCAGTTAATCAATTTTCAATACCTTATTCATCATAAATAGTGTACACAGGTGAAGCATGCAAGATTCGAATTTATCAGAAAATTGTAATCAAAAATGCTTACAGCTTAGATAGATTTATCGTTCAAAGTGGAGGAAAATGATGATTATAGATCTCCTTGATCTAACATTGCAAATGATTTAACTAATAAGAACCATCTATCCATATGGAAAATTTATATTTATTTCCTGAAAGATTTAATAAAGCTCTGTCTGTCAAAATCGAAAATTTTATACTTCATCGGAATAGCTCATTAAATACAACTTCTATGTAGTAGTCAGTTTGAATTATGACCTTGGATCAAAGTTGTTTGGTAACTGGAGTCTTAAAATAAGGTGAACATATACTTTTACGTCTCTACGATTCAAACAGCATTGGTATGAGAATAATTCTGTCATAACTAAATCTTCATGCATAAGACATTTCTTCATACCCATTACAGTATGAGATTGTAGAAATTGAGGTTTTCATTGTATTTAGTTACCAGTATGCTTCCGAACTATGTACAAAATATAGAAAGGTTAGTTTTTGAATTAGAATAAAACGATCAGAATGTTAAAGTATGATCTTTTATTAGTTCACATTTTAACGTAAAACAGCTTGGTCTTATAAGGTATATATTTTGGAGATGAGTAGGGATTTTAATTTTAAGGTAGCATTCGTCACTGAAGGACATCAGTCGGGGGACCACTGGAAATCTGGGACCGCTGGACAGCTGTTTCATCCTAGTTTGAGACTCCTCAGCAGAACGCACTCATGACCCGGGTAGGGATCGAACTCAAGACCTTCGGATTTCACGGCGAACTCGTTAACCATTCAGCCACTGGGTCGGAGTTCAGTGGTTCACAGTTTCTAACTTCTGTCAATTAGCGATATACCGCGACTATCACTCGAGGTCTCAAAAATACATTACTGTATAGTGCTCATTAGTGACATGCTTCCAGATGGATATCACAAAGTTCTAATGAGAAGCCATGATCTATGGGTCAACTAGTCAGAAGAGAAATGGATGCTAACTGAAGACCTTGGGTGATAGTCGCGCTGTATTGCGAATTGACAGAAGTTAGAAACTGTGAACCACGGAACTCTGACCCAGTGGCAATAAGGTAGGTATGTGTTTGTGAACTAATATGCAAGATTTACCTTTTGGTTCAGAAAACCTCTTTAAAGTCTTAATCATTAGTTTTCCACCATCAATTTTTAGGAGTGATAATTTTAAAATATTGGAATAAGATTTATTGCTCTCGAACGGCATCTTATTTCTACTCACCTCAACTTATTCCTATAACGTTTGTCAACTGTATATATTAATAGTCAAATATGAACGAAGAATATTCTTTTCAATAACTTCTCATCAGGTTCTGCAGTTTCGTTAACATAATATTACTAGCCAAAATTTGCCTCGATTACATTTTAGAGTGGAACATACGATTATAATTTCCATTACATTCTTTAAAGTTGGTATTCATCGTGGACTGACATCAGTTGGAGGAACATTGGAGACCTGGGAGTACTCGATAGCTGTTTTGTCCTGGTATAGGACCCCTCAGCAGTGCGCATCCCCGACCTCGCCCCACCAGAGATCGAACCCAGGACCTTTAGGCTTCGTGACCAGCACGTCACCATAGAGCCAGTGGGTCGAAATCCTGTGGTCTATATTTCCAACTTCTGTCAGTTTACGACATAGCACGACCATCACCCAATGTCATCTTTTAGTATCTGTCATCACAGCCACCAGGTTTGCCCCACCGGTCATGACTTCTAATTGTAACTTCAAAAATCAGCTTTCGAAGTTAGTCGTCAATGTGCATCAGCTCAGTTTAATTTGGGGAGTTTGTGGGGATTTAATGGTTTTTTTCAAGTTACTATTCACCATGGACTGACATCAGTTGGAGGAGCACTGGGAAGTCGTGACCGGTGGGGCAAATCTGGTGGCCATGAGGACAAATACTCAAAGATGACATTGGACGATGGTCACGCTATGTAGTGAACTGATAAGGTTGGAAATGTGGACCACTGGACGTCGACCCATTGGCTCCATGGTAACCTGCTGGTCATGGGACCTGAAGGTCCTGTGTTCGATCCCTGGTAGTCCGAGGTCATCGGTGTGCACTGCCGAGGGGTCCCGTAAGAGTGCTCATAGGTTTCCAATGTTCATCCAAATGATATCAGTCCATTATGAATACCAACTTGAAAAAATCACTAAAAACCCATTACTATTATTGTTATTTGTCCCTTGGGTTCCTAATGGAACATAGGGCTTCAGTAGCACGTCTCCATCCCACTCTCTTCTCTGAAATCTTTTCAACCTGGTCCACGACTGCCTACAAGCTCTCATTTCCTCCTCGCACGATCTCCTCCATGTCACCCTTACCTCGGAAGCTCAACTCGTCGCTTCCCATCTGGGTTTCACTCGAGCAACTGGCCTGACGCTTGATGTCCCCAGTCGGCCTTCTCAGTGTATGCCCAATCCATCTCTACTTTCTTCTGCATTTTGTTGAGCAATAGGTTCTTAGTTGGTTCGTTGCCAGCCAGAGTTCCTTGTTGCTGATTCTTTCTGGCCATCTGAGCTTCAGTAACGAGCGGAGGCAGTTGTTGATGAATATCTATAGTTTGTTGGAAATCCCTTTCGTGACGCACCAAGTCTCTGAGCCATATAGAAGCACAAACTTGACGTTGGTGTTAAAAATCCAGATCTTGTTCACCTTTTGTGCTGAGTGCAGATCTTCACACTGGTTTCAGGCTAACGAACGCCTGTCTTGCTTTCCCGATCCTGGCTTTGACCTCCTTGTCTGCGTCTGTGCCGCCTGTAGTTGAACCAGTGCTGCCCAGATAGGTGAAGGAGGCTACTTCCTTTAAGTTTCTCTCGTTCACGGTGATTCGAGCTTGCTGTTGTTGTTGGTTGGGTATCTTCATCACCTCTGTCTTCTCTATATTCACTTGAAGTCCCATCTTCACTGCCTCGCCTCTTCTGTTAACTTGTTAGTTTTCTCGTGCAGATCTTCAAGTTTGTGTGACATTAGACATAAGTCATCGGCGAAATGTAAATCTTCCAGGTTCTTTTCCCCGGTCCAGCCTATCCCCCTCTTCTCGCTCCTCACTGTTTGTTGCATGATCCAGTCCAGTCCACCACAATCAGGAATATCATTGGTGATAGTAGGTGGCAGCCTTGTTTCACTCCTATCTTCACTTCACTTCGAAGGCATCACTGAGCTGTCCACTGTGAATTACTTGGCTGGCATGTGGTGTCTTCGTATAGTTGTTGAATGAGGTTGATAAAGGTTTGTGGTATTCCGTAGTGTTGAAGCAACTTCCAAATTACTTCTCGATTGACGCTGTCAAACGCCTTTCCAAACTTGATGAAGTTGACATACAGGTACAGTTAACTGCCATTCTATACTCTGTTCTATGATGATGCGAACCGTTGCAATTTGATCCATACATGATTTATTCTTCCTGAATCCAGCCTGTTCCGGTAGTAGTTTTAAATTCAGCGCATCCTTTAGTCTCTCCAAGATGATGCGGCTTAGTATTTTGCTTGGGGTGGACAGGAGAGTGATTCCGCGCCAGTTCTTGCAAAAACTGAGGTCTCCCTTCTTCGGGAGTTTGACCACGTAGCCCTTCTACCCATCTGCCGGTACCTTCCCTTCCTCCTAGACTTTCTGCAATAGTGGTGTGAGCATGTCCGCTGTTGTCTCTACGTCTGTTTTCAGTGCTCTACCAACTGAGCTATATTTCAGGAAACATCAAATCAATTCACAAAATAAAAAAGGCTAAAAGTCAAAGTCGCAAGATACAAGGCGAATGAATGATTGAATGAACATGGTATGATTTCATTTAAAAGTAGCCGATTAAAGATTCAGTTAAACAACAAATATGAGTATCAATCAGACAAAATGTGATAAGATAGGGATCAAAAGATGTGAAATAGTTATGAAAATAAATTGAAATAGAGTAAAATAAAAATCACTAAGAGCTACCTCAACTTATGCATATATATATATGCTCAAATATATGAACTCATTGGTTTCGATACATAGACTGTAGGAACCTCAGTTCGTATAATGATTCAGTGTTACGTAACTACCTTGTAAACGCAGAAAGACAGTTACCTTGTCTTTCATTGGTGTTGTTAATAGTAAAGTTTTGTTGAGTCGGTGTCGTTAGTCCTCAATTGAAAGTTATAATTAGCGATGTTCTTAGTTATGGTGTCAAATTGAACTTGCCAAAAAAATACAGTATATTATGAAAAATACCATAAAAAGCGGAAATCTAACGATTGCTGTTTATATACCAACCTGTAAAAATTGAATAACTGTACAAACTTATATTTTCATCTGTGATTTAATGAAATATTAAAGAGATGAAATTTAATTTCCTTATTTTCCTTTATAGAAACTGTTCAGCTGATAATAAACCTTTCTGTATTACGTATTTATCAGTTCTTCGGGAATATATTGATTTAGAATTTACGGAACTAAAGGTCAGTATTGGTTTACCTGTTAATTATTTGATATATTTAATCTCTTTCCGGTTATTATTCTTCATGTATTTATAGTTTCTAACGGTAGATTAGTGTGATTTATTTACCTATCATTCAGACTGTACGGGGTCCCTAGGTGTACGGAATTATGGCTATGTCTTAAATAGTAATTAGCTAATTGTACATTTGAAAACTATAATATTCTCTGATCCAAAAATAGTTCATGTTGTACGGTGGGATACACTTCTGTTTTCTAAGTGGCATAAAACATTCAAAATCGCATATCATTTGTGTTCTAATATTTTTCTTCATCTCATCTTGAGATTTCCGAAGTATTTTCTAAAATGAATCAGTGATATAATGATAATAATAGTGACAATAATAGTCACCTTATTCTAATCAACATTTATGATACAGTATGGCATTCTCAGTATTTAGTATTTCAACAAATTCACTCCCTGTACAATATTTTTAAACGAAATAATTATTTAAAGCAACTGGTCCTTCTGATAACTTTAAACAGCGTAATAAGAAGACGTAGATTATCTGAAACATGTGATAACTTAGCGCTAAACACGTGTGATCAGGTTGTTTGGAATGTATAGCGCTAATACATCACATGTTTCAGATGATCTTCGTCTTCTCATTACTCTATTGAAATAATTATTGTGACTAATAACAGTATTGAAGGCAGTAATATGAAACAGGTAGCTGGTGTCTCGTCTGGACTGTATAATGTATAGAAAATCGAGCGTAATTTTGGTGGTAGTTTATTTAGCCAGTACAAAAACCTGTATTTCGATATATAGATATCCTAGGCATAATAATGTGCTGTACTTTCGTAGATCTATGAGTTCACTTCCATCCAGCATGACGTCTATTCTCTATATTTTTTTCTTAACTTGAAAAACGGCAATTTCAAAACCTTTTACAAATTCGCCAAATTACATGATACTTTTCGAAGACATATTTAAAAGATTAAAACAAATTGTGAGGGAAGAATTCGATGAAATCTCTTCCGTGTGAAATTTTCGGTAGCCTAAGGTTTATTCAGGCCACCAATGAATACTTGCTTTATGTAATAAATGTGTATACGGCTATCATTTAAAGTGATTACGTATTGCTTATGCTTTACATAACTACCATCTAAATTTTAATCTACTGGGTCAAAATCGGTAATGGCTATCATTAACCGCTATTGAATTGCTTTGATATTATAGTATACACGATCTTACTTCTTACTCTACATAAGCTTTAAAAACTATCCGGTTAAAATTCACTTAGTATGATAGTAAAATAGTACACTTCAATAGTACCTTTACACTTTTCCTTTAAATGCTGATGAAGTATGCAGTTGATATCGAATATCATTTGATAAGTTTTGTAAGTAGCACCACCTTTCTTGACTGCCAATATTCAAAGTGTCATTTACAAAAGACTGACTATATATTTCTTCTATCTCTGTGTGTCTAATAGCTTTTCAGATGATCGTTTATTCATGCTTTGGTTGAATAGGTTTTCTATAGCTCATGGATCTGGACCCCCCAAGCTTCAACTAGTGCAAAACAGTTTTGGTCCTCACTCCACCTTCAGTTTTTGTATCTAAGTATTATCACTAGATCTTGAACAATAAGTGTTGCTCATTGTATAATACAGAAACAGCAAGATCCGGATTTTCAACACTAATTCAGTCAAGCCAGTACTTCTATATGATGGTCCAGAGACTTGGCGCGTCACGAAAAGCACTTTCAACAAACTACAGACATTCATCAAAAGCTGCCACCTACCCTCGTTGCTCAAGATCAGATCGCCAGAATAATGAGAATAAGCAACAAGGGACTCACTGTGACTGGCAACAAACCAACCAAGAACCCATGGCCCAGCAAATATGCAGAAGAAAGTGGAGATGGATTGGATTGGACATACACTGAGAAGACCGTTTGGGGACATCACTCGCCAGGTCAGGCCGTCAAGTGGAACCGAAATGGGAAACGAAGGGTTGGGTGTTCGAGGGTGACATAGAGGAGATCTTGTGAGGAAGAAATGACAGCTTGTGGGCAGTCGTGGAACCAGGTTCAAAATACTGCATAGAACAGGGGAATGACGACATGCTATTGAAGCCCTATGTTCCACTAGGAACCCAAGGGTCAAATAGTTGTGTAATGCACCAATCCTGTACTTAACTAAGATAGGTTATCACTTGCAAATTGTTTGGCTTTTTATTCCACCTTTATGATATCTATTCTACTATAGAGATGGGATTTTGTAAAATATTTCCGATTTCGGCTATATGATTTCTTATTGAACTGTTTACTACTAAAATTCACTGTTATACCAAATGAGCAACAGACTGTATCATGCAATATCAGATGGTCAATTAATGAAGATTTTTGTTTATTCATTTATTTATTTGTTCGAAAAAATCTCTTTGCCAACAGAAAACATTACCATTCCCTTATGATTTGGAGCGTATTATCGATGATTGGATTTTTATGGCTTTTCTTTTGGGCAATGATTTTATACCTCATATTCCTAATTTACATATACATGCGGAATCATTATTAACACTTTGGGATACCTATCAAGTTGTATTACCAAAATTAGATGGTGAGTTTAATCTATCTATTCAGTTATATCATATTTACCTTGATCTGTGTGTGTGTGTGTGTGTGTGCGTGTGCGCGTATCATTCACAAGCAGTTCTCTTTGCCACCTTAAAGTCAATCGATTAAGGTGTATAATTTTATCGATCAATCCGAATTTTTCTTTTTGGGATGCAGTTTTCAGTAATAACATACTTATGTATCATATACAAATCAAGTTATCACTTACTGTTTTAGTTATCAAGTCAAATCTTTAGACTTAAAAGTTCTTATTGACAGAATGAACTGAAAACATGCATGTTCAAATGAAGTGAAATCAAACGAAATCCAAAACGTTAACTCCTTCCGAAGCGAGTACTTTTTTCAGTCAAGTAAACACACAAGTAATCATGACAGATAACTTATTACACCTAAAAAGTAATAATTTAAAACCTGAGATCAATTCAACTAAGTTTTATTAAAATCAAAGTAACGGTGTTTGATAAGCAATAAAGCTTCTCCACATTTCCTGAAATACATATCAATATTATTAAATACAGAATGCAACACGAAAAGCGACAGCAATTAAACTTTCTGCATTTAGGTATGAGATATGAAGGAGGTATTACTGAATACACTAGAGTACTCATGGAGAAATCGCATTTAACGGTCAGTATTAGCAGTTCAATAGTTTTTCCATATGAGATTGTTTTTTCTTCCTCCAGTGATACAATATTATTTACTGGATGACGTTTCGTACAGATTTTGATTGCTCATAATCATATATTAAAGTAATCAAACAACTTTCAAACTTCATTTCTGTAGTTCAATAATTCTCCATCCTTTCATTTTAATGGCAGTAAAATATTCCACATATCTACAATATGTTATGAATCATTCACCTTATATGTGTTAGTTGTTGATGTAGAGATCAATCTCTCTCCACCTAGCTATACTGAATTTTACAACTGTCACCATATCGTATCATATATTGTAGAGCGATACTCTAGTTTTTCTCTGAATTATGTATCTTGGTAGGGTCTATCATTTTGTTTTTAACTATCTTAACTGACCCCGATCGGCTACTTTGATCCATGTTGTTGATCTGACAATCATTACATGGTATTTGATGCATTGAGTTATTTTTTATCTAACAGGTCTTTTAGCCTACAGAATTTCTCTTTGAGTTTGTGGACTCAAGTAGCACATTAATCCCAGAATTCTTACGAATTCTACTTAAAATTTCCGATATGCCTTTTTTATATGGTAACAAAGATCACAGAGAATTTGACTTCCCTTTTAGGTATGTTGCAATAGCCACTAGTATTATTTTCTTCCCTCTCTTATGAGTTGTTATAAATCTTTCAATAAGCTCTAGAGAGTAGTTATTAAGTAGTAATGTCTATTCAGTGTGTTTGAGTTCTTTATCTAGATCTTCTGATTTACTAGTCAGGCTCCTATCTGGATTAACTCAACATTTTTACAAGTCTATCTTGTCACTTATTGGGTGAGACACGTTGAAGTCCAAGTATCTATTCTTCTTCTGTGGTGTTCTGTCGTTCTGATTCTAACATAATAAGTGTACGATCTACACGTTCCCATCATACTTTGGGCATGAGTTAGAATGTTTCTAAGGTCATTTGTTCTCAGCTTTCCGTAAATATGTCATCTACAAACGAGGATATTGAAGATGTCATCGCTACTCCTTCTGTTTGTTTTATATTTTGTGTGAATTTGTAGACTAGAAGTTAAACATAACCGTACGCCTAGGATAATTTCTATAGTCAAAAGTCTAGCCCTATTTTTGAGTTCATAGTTTGTGATACGTTCATTTCTGACTGCCTCAAGTGCCATAACTAATATATTTGTATAGAGGCTCGTCAGATAAAAGGGCTTTTCTTCTCCTTCCTCTAATTGTCTAGTCTAGTCTGTGCATCTAATTTTAAACATTGGTCGATTTTCTGTGACGAGTCACTATACGAATATATTTCTGTTATGATTACTTCGAATAGCTCTGAAATGTTGCACAGACATCAGCCTGGTAGTCTGTATCTCTCAGACCAACAATCAAAGACTTCATGGATTGATACCACATTATACTCTGATTACCATTAGGTCATCAAGTAAATAATACTAGATGACTGTGTGTTATAAATCAAATAAACAAATCTAATATGGAATTGAATTCCACCACGGTGCCCAAGTTTTACGCCTATACCTAGGTTGAGACTAAACCCATTTCCTTGAATACTATCCGCCTCTCTTTACATAGTGTTATGACATGTGCCACCTTAACCGATGTATTTCTGTACTAAGTTCTACATTAATTTGTATGCCTCTGGTGCTTAGTAAAACTGTCAATCACCATAAGGATCAACATAAGATTAAGCAATACTACCTCTAACAGTCCGAATCGCCACACCTCATATCAGCACATCAAGTAACAAGGCAATAAAATGGAAGATGAAGAAAGAAGGAACAAACGGTCAAAGGAAGTAAAAATAGAAAGTAGTAGGAGAGAAAGAAAGGAGAAAATGATGAGATTAGGGGTGAAGGTTAGGATGAGGATAATGTTTGTATGCATCTGGACGATTGACATAGATTCCGAGCGATATCAACCAGAGTCTCGTCCCCAACCACTAGTTTCTCTTGTCACTCAGACCCCAACCTGCTAGTGTGCATATCACCCTACATGGCTGAGACGTACAGTCATGGACTGTTGCATTGATTGGATGTTTTAGTCTGTCCGCCGCGAACCTTTTTCCAGTATGAAGCTACTTCGACGAAGATTGTGATGCGAAGCAGACGATGTTTAGGCATAGGTAACACATGTGCCTGGCAAGCATCTGCGTGGATTAAGGTAGACAAGTGCATGAACTGTCTTACTTGTGTTGCTTGAAACTCTTTGTCTGAGTTGTGTGTTACTCACGTGATGACAGCACGAAATGTGGTCTATGCTAGGAAGGTGATGGTTTTGAAACAGCTGAAGCCTTTTCATATCTTCTATCTTTGGCGACGATGTTTCGTAGCGGTGGGGTATAAGAGAAGAGAGCAGACTGTAGGAGAGTACACTCAACCCCGATAGGCAATCGGATATCGGGCGGGGGGGGGGAGGGGGATGACTTCACAGATGACGTAAGTTGGTAAAAACCGCAAATTAATTCTATCACTTTAACCCGTTACATAAGATGCTTATTACTATCTTACCATTTCGAGTATCTGAGATAGCCGTGGTTTGGCAGACTATTTATACTGGGTGATGATTGAAGATAAAATAGAAATTTGAACCGTAGCGGGACTCGGACCAGCGACCACCGGGTTTCCGGCCCGATGCTTTATCAAGTGGGCTACGAGGTATTTGTAGCTCAGTTGGTAAAGCATCGGACTGGAAACCCGGTGGTCGCTGGTTCGAATCCCACTACGGTTCAGATTTGTATTTCATCTTCAATCATCACCCAGTATTACTATCTGCCTAACTTTCTTTTCAGCATTCGGTTTAGTAGAAATTAATTATTTTTTTTCTTTTCAACTTTCTATCACAGGTTACCTAGTAGAGTTTGGATACTTGAATCTGTTACGTTTTCATAAATATCTTGTAGAACTTTCGCAAGTTAGTAATTTCATTATGAATTTCAATCCACACATTTAATATAAGTATATCAGTTTCAATGCCAAGAGTGAATTTTTTTCCAGATATTCTGTTATACAAGAAGTTGACTTTTTATTTTCATTCATTCATTATCTGCTAAATAATAAAATCAATAATCAAAGCACTTTTAGTATTGTCTTCTTAATCAAATCTATCAGCTATGACTCTAATGAGCGTTGATAATCAATGCTTGCCTACAGTTAACATCATAATTTATTATAGTATTCATCACTATCGAATAATAATAAACTATTCTAATTAAAACTGTTTTCAGTAAACTTGATGGAACTATGACCACCTGTTTTTCTTCTTCTAACAGTTCACCTTCAACGAAATGGGTCATTGATTTAAACCCTGTTCCACTTGCCGAGCTTTGAATAGCCGGATAGTGTCACTAGCTGATGTAAAAAAGTATAGTACATCTCTGAGTATGCAAACTTTTTTTTAAAAGTCGAACATTGTCAGTTGTGGTATTGTTCTGTCATTTGATATATCAATATTAACCATTTTATTATTTGACCCTTAGGTTCCTAGTAGAACATAGGGCTTCAGTAGTACGCCTTCATTGCACCGTGTTCTCTACATTCTTTTGAACCTGGCTCCACGACTGCCCACAAGCTGTCATTTCTTCCTCACAAGATCTCCTCTATGTCACCCTCGGACGCCCAACTCGTCGCTTCCCATCTGGGTTCCACTGGAGCAACTGGCCTGGCGCGTGGTTTCCCCGAATGGTCTTCTCAGTGCATGCCCATTCCATCTCCACTTTCTTCTGCATATTTTTTGAGCAATAGGTTCTTGATCGGCTCGTTGCCAACCAGCCAGAGTTGCTTGTTGCTTATTCTTCCTGGCCATCTGATCTTTAGTACTGAGCGAGCGTAGGCGGCAGCTGTTGATTAGTGTCTGTAATTTGTTTGAAGTGCTTTTCGTGACGCGCCAAGTTTGTGAACCGTCACATAGAAGCACTGACTTGACGTTGGTGTTAAAAATCCAGATCTTGCTTGTGCTGAATGCAGTGCAGTAGATCTCCTCACTTGTTTCAGATTAATGAAAGCCTGTCTTGCTTTTCCGATCCTAGTTTTGACATTTTCGTCTGTGACTGTGTCGCCTGTAGTTGAAACGATGCTGCCTAGCTAGATGGGTTAAAGAGACTACTTCATTTAGGTTTCTCTCGTTCATGATGATTGGTGCTTGTTGTTGATGTTGTTGTTGGTTAGGTATCTCGGCCACCTCTATCTTCTCTACATTCACTTGAAATCCCTTCTTCACTGCCTGGCTTCTTCGGCCAACTTGTTAGTTTTCATCCGTGGATCTTCGAGTTTGTGCTACAAGACATTAGACATAAATTATCATGGGCGAAATCCAAACCTTCAAGGATGTTTTTATCGGTCCAGCTACCGTATCCCCACCTTCTTGCTTCTCACTGTTTGGTGCATGATCCAGTCCACTACAATAAGGGAGATCACGGGTGACTGCTGGATACATACTCAATGTTTATTATTCTTTTGTTGTAGGTGGTTACTTTTGCATTTAAACTACAGTCTAATTTGTATGATCTTTGAATGCAGAACATTCATTTTTATGAGTGCTGAAACACTTCATTGATCGACAGTATTTAGAGGAACTGCCAAGTTAATGAAACAAATCACTATCGTTTGCTCGAATTTTTCAGCACCACTGTAATGTATATCGAAGCAAAATCTCCGACTGATGCCCATTTGCAGCGGTATATATGTATGTCTTGGTTGTATTCTGTTCTCTGATCTGGACATTCATCCACCTAAGCTACAAATATTCTCCACGATATATGTGTATTCACAAATATATGAATGTTGATAGTTTCATTCACAAGTATTTCTATTGATCGGATCTACCATAACCAAACTTTCTAAATCAGCGTACATCATATTCCTTTAATTTTTTCTTAACATTTTCAAATTTGTCTTATCATGTTATACTTTAATTATTTTGCTTCGTTACTATGTAAGATAACACTTTCAAGAAAGTTAAGATAACTTCTAATGATATATATATTTTTTTTATTGAATTAATTTCTAGTTTGAACGTGATTGGTTTGAGGAACGTGAAGCAGCTTTCCATTGGATGCGTGGAAAACAAGGTGCTCGAATGGCAAATGAACTGGAAAAACTCGGATTATCAGCTCAGCAAAATCAGTTTACGTCTCAAGTGTGTACTAGTTCAGTGGGGAAAAGTACTTGCAACAAGATTAAAACTGATTCGGCAGATAAACCTAAAGGTTAGTTATTTAACTTTAAGGGTATTCTGAATTAGATAACTTAGCGTTATCAATACCAAAGTCACCTTTTCGAAGCTGGTACTGACTATTTCATGTAGTTCCATATTAAATTTGTTCATTTATTTGATGATATTCCGAGCATAAATTACTATTGTTCATAATCATATCAATCATATCTTATCACACAACTTTCAACATCTAATTTTTAAAGTCTTATCACCTCATATTCTTTGTTTTCAGTAGTAGTGAAATTTTCCATATCTTTGGCATAAATGTTGCGTCATTTCTATTATAGATTGACGTTTGCTACCCTGCCCACTTCTCCCCCTAATTTATTTAGGGTGGAAAAAAATGTTTGTCTGATTCCTCGGTTTAAAAGGCAATGTGTTTGTGTGGCCAAGATACATTCCTTATTGGACTATAACAATTATTTATAGGACTGGTTAGTTGAGCCTAGATAGCCTATCTATATTTGAATTGGCTTAGAAAATCATCTTCATTTGTCACACTAAATCTGTGTTTAGAAAGTATCATCATCAGGTTAAAATGAAATCCATAATTAATTTAAAATTTGTAGAGAATTTTTATTCTATAGTGACAATGTTGTGTAATAGTTCAGGGAGTCTGTTTCAAAATGTATTGAGTCTAGTTGCTGTTATCATACTTGTAATTTCCGGTTGTTACACAGAGCGAATTGCTCAACCTCTGTTGGTAGATGGGGTTCTATGCGGATGCCCTGATATTGCTGCTTATTTACTATATTACATTGATCTCGGTGACTAGCAAAGGAATCCAGGACTCGTGTTTCCTCCTATTTGGCACTCGATTTAGTGCAAAATGCTCTGGTGTTTGAAGCGAAGGGTACTGGGTTCGATCCACAGTAAGAACAACACCACTCACTGGGGTGCAGGTACATCCAGCTGACGAGTCTCGAGTAGGATGAAGCGCACATCCTAGATTCCTGTGGTAGTCCTCGACATCAATATGTATTGGGTGTAATTTATAACTGTAAATGAGGTTTCCATAAAAATCTATTTATTTCATGTATTAGTAGCAAATTTGCACACAATGATAAGCTCTTATTTTGGTAATAATCCGAACAGAATTACTGCCCGTGACTAACCATCAGTTGGAGTATTTTATTAATAACTTACTACAATAAAAGCTTACCACTGTTTGTAAACTTTTCATTGAAAATGTACTTAAAGTATGTTATTCCATTCCACAGTACATAATCTTTCCATCGATATATTTAAATCCTTGTAGGAATACACTGGCTGTAATTTTATGGCTAATGTTGGTGAGAAACTGATTATTTTCCCTCGATAAGCAGAGATTCAGTAATCAATCTCTCCAGTTAATTATATTGGACTCAAATACAGTGGTTTTATCCCACCCTTATTGTATGGTTGTGTGTTAATCCATGCCTAGCGATAGCCGAGTTTTTTCTAGATTGTTGATCCTATCGAGGTCTATCACTCTACATATAGCTAAATTCCTATGTTCTGCTAATCTAACTGACCCCGACCGTCTAGTTTGACCTATATAGTTGACTTCACAGTGATTGCATGGAATGTGGTACATTAGTTTATTTTGCTGAATTGGCTCTGTCGAGTTGTACTCGTGTTTACTATTATTATTATTATTATTATTATTATTATTATTATTATTATTATTATTATTATGTCGTTCCTTATGTGTTCGTACGGATTTCTTAATGAACGGTAGAGGATAACTATTAGTTATTAACGCTTGTTTTATTTGTCTCAATTCCTTATTTAATTCCTTGGAGTGATCAGTAAGTTTTCTAGCTCTATAATTTAGAAATTTGACTAAACCTGCCTTAACTGATATGGGATGTGATGATGTGAAGTTTTGATACCTGTCAGAATATGTTGGTTTCCTGTAGACTGTAGTGTCTAAACTTACGGTTTGTTCTTCCTTTTCCCTCTGAACCCCAACATAGGTGATTCTGCTTGTTGATTTTCTACCTCATAAGTGAATTAGATTGGGCCTACTACTGAGTTTAAATGTGTGAGGAAATTGTCGATATGTTCTGATTTCAATACAGTAAATGTGTCATGCACATATCGCCACTATATCTTAGGTGTAGGACTAAATGTTGATGAAGCTATGTCTTCCCAACTATCTATAAATATATCTGCTACGATTGGGGATAATATAAAGCTACGGGATTACATTCTACCACAGTGCTTATGTTCTACATATATTATTTCATCTAGAATGACAGCTAAGGTTTTGTAAGTGAAACATTCTTCATTGTAAGCACAACAGCACCAAACGTTTGCACTCAAATCTCAGTTATAGAATATTTTGTACTGTATTTTCCAGTCCAATAGCCAATTTACTCGATTTTAGAAGAATGTTTATTGCCAATAGTTTTAAACCCATACTTCTGTCAATCATTACTCTCAAATGAAGATTTACTCTTGATGCTTCATACACTAACACTATAAATAGTGGCTTACCAAATCGCAAAACAGTTAACAGGCTTCTAGAATGATTAAATTTCGTCATTTGTAATGAATTCAATCGATTGAATTTGGGGGTTTGTGGATATCTAGAGATTTTTCCAGTTGGTATTCATCGTGGACTGACAAACCTGGTGGCCATAAGGACAAATAGTTAACTATGACATTGGGTGGCAGTCGTGCTATGTCGTGAGCTGACGGAAGGTGGAAATTTGAACCACTGAATGCCGAACCAGTGAGTCAGTGGTAACATACTGACCGAGGAACCTTAAGGTCGCAGCGTCGTGGGTGCTCACTGCTGAAGGGTCCCATACCAGAACGAAACAGCTGCCCAGTTCTCCCAGGTTTCCAGTGTTCCTCTAACTGATGTCAGTTCATGATGAATACCAACTGGAAAAATTCAGTCCACTTTTTCTGAACAAGTGAATCACATACTGAAATTCAAACTAAGATTATTTTTTTCACTCGTATGATATTGACTCGATGCCACACCCGAATACGGGTTCGTGCATTCAACCACCTACCACACGTGTTGAATGTTGCATGGTAAAACCCACCCGGTCTATCCAAACATCATCGGTAAGTGGAACCGGATTTTACCCAATGTACCATTAGTTTGAAGTTGAGTGTTTAAGTCGGTGAGCCACAGCTCCACAAAAATAAAATATTTGTGAATAAAAGAATTTGTTTTATGGTATATCCGCTTTATAAACAATTATATTAGTCCAATGTATGCTATACAAAACTGTATCGTCAAAATCAGTTATATTGCTGTAAAAGAGTTGCAGTGAATCCGTTGAAGGGCTTTAAAGGTTACCCTAGCAACAAGTGGAATAACCAGTTAAACTTCTCTATTTTATGCAAATCCTTATTTTCATGAACCTGATTGGTTATTTCAATCGTTTCTAAAGTGGCTCTTAAAGTCGTTCCAATCCCTCAAATAAACCAATTGGTAATTTCATTACTTCCAACACAATGAATGTTACTATGACTTGTGTTTCGTTGACACGAAACTTGTTTTATTCTGCAACTGTTTTACTACATGTTAATTTTTTTTTTGCTTTAATAAATTATTTTTCAGATTTAGATCAATTAAATGATTTAGTAGATTTATTTACGCCACAACTAGACTATCAATATGATAATGTTTTACTAGATGAAACTGTTGAATTAATGGAAGAAGGTGTTATTGTTTCAATAATACCTGATAAAATGAAAGATAAAAAGAAATCGAATACAAAGAATGTATACAATTCACTGTATACTAATCCACTTGAAGTTGAAATGGAGAAGAAGTTGACGGTGAACTTGAAGAATTTGAAGATGATGGTTATAGTGATGATGAAATTGACTATACTGAAGGGGAGACAGATATAGATGAAGATTTATTAATCTATAAAATGCATCGACGTGATTATTACTTCTCAAAACTTGGCATTCAAATCAATGAAGATATAAGTGATAATAGTGAAAATTCTTTATTAATGTCTTTAATTCAAGATTATGTAAAAATGTTACAATGGATATTAAATTATTACTTTCTTTGTATTGCTGATTGGGACTTTTTCTATCCTTATCATTATGCACCATTTGCACATGATCTTATTTTATACACTAAACAATTTTTAAATGTTGAAGATTTTAATAGTATAAAATCTTGTTGGACAAAGTTTAACACAAACTCACAACCAGTTATTCCATTTATTCAACAATTAATGATCATGCCAACAGACTCAGCATATTTAGTTCCAAAGCCTTATCGTGATCTAATGACATCATCATCTTCTCCATTAGCTGAATTTTTTCCTAAAGAGTTTGAAACAGATATCAACGGAAAAATGGCTTCATGGGAAGCTGTAGTGGTAAGCTGTTTAAATATATATGCAATAAATTATCGATTTTATAATACTTATTATTTTTTTTTTCTCAAGAAATGCGTAAGAAATGTACAAAGTATCCATTGTAATAAAAATCATTTCTTGGCCTAGTGATTATATTTCCCTATCCAAGAGGTTTTATCAGTGTGATTGGTGTCTAAACAACCCCTTACTTTAGTACTTAAATTCCATTGGAGTACTGGTAATATTAGTTGTAGGTAATCGTTTTATGTATGTGAGATATGATTTGACGCTTTGTCGAATAATTTTAGTACTTTGTCGAAATAATTGACTCCATGGAAACATCAGCTTACTATAAGCCTCCACTGGGATTAATCACGATTAGAAATACATTCTAAATTATTTTGACAATGTGCGTTTCATCACTGTAATAAGTAAACAACTACACCTGTCTACCTGATCTATAGAAAATACTGACAAAATCAATCTGATCAAAGTTTTAGATAAACCACTCTGACTAGATACTTTACTCATCGAAAGTATTGTTATCGTTCATTTGGTGAATTCATGTCAATTGAATTCCTGTGTTGTTCTTCGATGAATAAATATATTTGTTGTACTGAAAGTTGATAAGACAAGTAAAGATTATGGTTTTTAATCATTTAGGTTAAATCCTAAAGGGATTAACGATATCTAAGAGTCTATAAGGAAGGTCCAGTTTTTAATAATATCTAAATTTCTTTCATACTGAACAGCTTTTATCAACTAGTAGTAGCTTGATAACAGTTGATTTCAAATCAAGATTTCTATTCTTGAAAAATTAAACAATTGAGGTAAATATGATGTAGCTAAATGAATATCAATATAATAAGCGAAAACGAAGCGCCAGTTAGTTCATTTGTTTTTTTTTTTTGACCATGATTCTCAGCTATTGTCGAAAACAAGAGCTAAAAATGAATAACTTCAGTACATTTTCTAAACTCCTTCCGACACTTTTATTTCAATCTTGTGGTGTGTTAAACTATATATGAAAGGTGTCCTAAGTACAGCAAACACCTCAGATCGCATAACAGTTGTAGACAGTGTAGCATAATTTCGCCAGATATAAACTCTAACTTGACAATATTGGTTATCTGGTAGCAGTAAATGTTTCTACTTTTTTGACTTCCTACATCGATGTTTGTCAGCTGAAGAAATATTAAGCTATCATCTAGCACTTTATGATTGCAAAATTATTAGCAATTTATTTGTTCACATTATCATATGACAAAATTATGTGTTATACTAATTTTAACTTATTTGAAGAATTACATCCTGAGGTCTGTGACAGAGTGTGGAACAACAAGATGCATTTAATTTGTGGGGGAAGCTCTGTACATTAACCTCTCCAACCTACTAACTCCTAGTTGTTGATTTAGGTTTGAATACCGATCTATAACTACTTCTAAATCTAAAATGCGATCTGCCTACATATTGGAAATTAAGTGCTGTTGAATACTTATTCCTGAATTCGATAATTTGACCTATAGTATTGGTAGCGAAGATGTAACTCAGTAGCTCATGCATTGAGCAGAAACTTAAGTGTGTTTAGCGTGCATTTTGCACTCGTAAAATCTGAGATGATCGTCCAGAATTGGTCTTCAGTTAACTGGTGAGATGTGTTGACAACATCAATTACTTGGGGAGTTGCACGAATCCGAATGGGATGGTTGCTGACGAAATTTCAGCTCCGATATACAAGACCTATTTAACATTTGCCAACTCGCGTCACCTGTGGTGCTGACGGCTGAGATATCTGATTATGAATTAAAGGACCACTATGCTGCGCTGCAGTTCGTTCTCTCCTGTTGTACGGATGTGAAACATGAAGCGATTACATGATTTCGATCGTAGGTGTCTTCTGAGCATTGCTCGCTTTTAGTGGAATCACTATATGAACAACGTTGAGGTCACGTGAAGGATACTAGGCAAGTCGACTGATGAGGTTGTGAATCTTAGTCAATTGGGATGGCTTGAACAGATATTGTGTATGCCGCGTCACCAACTACGTCGATATGCCATGGTCGAGGAATTTGAATTAGTTCAGAAGACCGAGGTTGAGGGTGAGCAGACCAAGACGTGATGGCACCAGGTGATCAGGTCTCTTACTGTTTCTGAGTGAATGAAAACATCCTGACTGGGGTCCCCACGAAGAATGGAATCAGTTGTTGAGGACTGATGGTGATATGATTGAAAATCGGCCATAATGGTGCAGATATATTCACTCGTTGACATCTAAAGCTTACATATTCTCACTGACCGTTATCTTTAAATTCTTTATTCTCTCACACAACTTTGTCTTTTTTGATATCACCCGTTTTCTATCCACGTGTTCGTTATGTACTATTATGGAGTGTGGCAAGTTGTGCCGATGCATCTGTGTGCGAGATTCTACTCTGATATTGTCTGCCTATCACAGTTAGTGTGGCTCGTAACCCCGTACGTAAACACCTGTGTCAAGTGTAGTTGCAGTATTTTTTATAATGAGGTCCTTGATATTTGATCCTGTCGTAGGAATAAAGCTTCATTTGGCAGAATGGATACTTCGAATTTATGAGGGAAGGGAAGTTGTTTGGTTTCACTTAGTAATTTCGTTGTTTAATTACAAAGGTTCCATTATTTCAGTCTAAGTTTTCAGTTGTTGCACAAATTTATTCATGTATAATAGACTTTTTTTACAATATGTATCTCCATGTATTTACAGTTGATTCCGTTCATAGATCAAAAACGTTTAATCAGGGCAATGGAAGATGGAAATAGTAAACTAACGGAAGCGGAAAAGGAACGTAATCAGCATAAATCGCACTTATTTTATCATGCTTGTCCTATTGGTCGGGTCAAATCTCCTGTTGAATTAATCCGCTATGATTTCTATCGTATATCTGTTGATTGTAGTCAATCACAATTCATTCGATTTTATAGTTCACTTGCCCGTCAATGTATTGCTGAAGATTTTCCAAGTTTATTGAGACTACCGTTCACCTATAAGCTACAAAAGATACCAGTTCATGTAAGTGCAATGTTTTTTCTTCATTACACTAAATATACCCATCAAATCAGGGAATAAACTGTTCAGCGGAGGAAATCCCTGTTAAACAGTCATATATATATATATTCATCAATCATTGTTTATATGTTTGTTGTTGGTAACAAGTTGTGTTTAAAAACCAGTGTTTGGTTTCGTCAATAGGGTAAGCATTTTGCAAAACATATCGAAATAAATAAAATTATATGGAGGGTATTTGTGAAACCAGTGTTATTCGTTCATTTTTATTTATGGGGACATGATAACATTAAGTAACAGTATTCTGACAATACGGCTTTAAACTAAGCTCGTGTGATATGAGTGATAAATACAACAAAACCCTAATAATAGTTATAAGTATAATGCTGGTAATGTGAAACGAGGTTAATTTAAGATAAAATGAAACTGGAACTATCTGTGACATCTTGATATGTGAGTAATCAATGTTCAATATATCGCATCGACGCAATTAAATGTCGTTTAGGTGAGCTTGAAAGATTTTATGCATTATGTAGTCTGTCTGAAGAATGTCAGTTAAAGTTCGAAGATGACTTTTTCACAGTAATCAAATTCAGATCTGAAGAAGGTAGAATCATCTCGAAGCGCATTCCTAAACCAACAGTCTCGCAAGAAAAGTTTCTGAAACATTCTGTGAATTATGCTTACAATTAGTCGTCACTAGCTCACTCATATACAAGCTCAAATACTTCTTCAATGACAACCTACTATGTACACAATTGTAATTTGAAAATCTAATCGAGCAGACAAGCGATCTAATACCAGCATCTCCAAATGAACTAAATCATTTTGAATCAATAGTGCTTGATAGCAATTTTCAGTTTATGAAAATGAAACCGAAAAGCCAGTTTCACATCACCAAAGTACTCCAAATGAAAAAGAATGGAAAATTTTTCACCAAAACTCTCAAAATGAAATCGATTCGTTGCTGCTCGACCGATTGAATTATTCAGATAAGGAGAAGGATATACTAACAGATAACTGAAAAATTTCGAAACCTGATAGAGAAAAGTGAAACTGTTGAAGAACAAGTTACTAGAGTTCGTAAAAGAATAAAAAGCTGATCAGTTCGAAAAATTGAAACTTCCGGAATCTATTGCTCGTGAACTATGTAGTTTATGTAAGCTATATAAGTCTGGAATAACTCTGCTTCCCATTCTCGATATGTTAGATTCTCCCTATCATTCAATATTCCGATGCATCTCACTGATTCCGAAACCAATTGGAAGAAAAGTGTGTAAGCGTTCCGTTTATGATACATTTGAATTTATTGATACGGTAAGCAGTTTAAGTGTTACCGGTATGATATAAGATGTTAATTCCTTATTAACTAATGTACCATTCACAGAAACTGTATACTTTATTTGTGACTGTATAAACACAAACAGTGTGAATATTGGTATACCTACTGCTTACTTGAAACAACTTATCTTGAGGTGTACCCTGAATGTAAAATTTAGCTTAAACAAAGAGATTTATAAATAAAATATTGTCTATTTGTGGATCTCTCTTAGACCCATTACTATCCAATTTCTTTAAAACCACCATCGAAAATGGTAGTCCCAACCGTCATCATCATCATCAAGATCAACATAGGATCAGGCAATACTGCCTCTAACAGTCCAAATCGCCACACCTCATATCAGCACATCAAGTAACAAGGCAATAAAATGGAAAATGAAGAAAGAAGGAAAAAACGGTCAAAGGAAGTAAAAGTAGAAAGTAGTAGGAGAGAGAGAAAGGAGAAAATGATGAGATTAGGGGTGAAGGTTAGGATGAGGATAATGTTTGTATGCATCTGGACGATTGACATAGATTCCGAGCGATATCAACCAGAGTCTCGTCCCCAACCACTAGTTTCTATTGTCACTCGGACCCCAACCTGCTAGTGTGCATATCACCCTACATGGCTGAGACGTACAGTCATGGACTTGATGCATTGATTGGATGTTATAGTCTGTCCGCTGCGAACCTTTTTCCAGTATGAAGCTACTTCGACGAAGATTGTGATGCGAAGCAGACGATGTTTAGGCATAGGTAACACATGTGCCTGGCAAGCATCTGAGTGATGAAAGTAGACAAGTGCATGAACTGTCTTACTTGTGTTGCTTGAAACTCTTTGTCTGAGTTGTGTGTTACTCACGTGATGACAACACGAAATGTGGGCTATGCTATGAAGGCGATGGTTTTGAAACAGCTGAAGCCTTTTCATATCTTCTATCTTTAGTGACGATATTTCGTAGCGGTGGGGTATAAGAGAAGAGAACAGACTGTAGGAGAGTACACTCAACCCCGATAGGCAATCGGATATCTTGGAGGTGTGTTTGCCACAAATGGCGTAAGTTGTTAAAAGACAAGCGACTTTTTGTATCCGTGCAGAGAATTGTTTGGCCACTGATCCCGACCGATAGCTGCTACCTTGACGTGGTGGTCGGGCTTGCATATCACAATGACCCAACGAGCTATGCTGGTGGAACGCTTGTTCCCTCGAGGTCCTACCATACCAGAAAGGTCTGTTGGGTAGTGGTTAGACGAAAAGCAGTTACCGTCATAGTGTAAATTGCTATACTATGATGGGGGTCTGAGGGCGAAGTCGTACTGCTGCTAGCTGGATGGGGTGTGACAGCAGTAAGGTGTTTCCCTTGGATGACCAGCAGTGCCAAGCTGATGCTGCCTTCTCAGTGGAAGGGGGGGTTAGAAAAGGTCGGCCCCAAAAATAACACACTCCACCACGCCCCACGGTCTGCCGGGCCGGCGGTGTTGGTTCACTTGTCGTTTCCTTTCGCTCATCCGGCCCCAAAAATACAAAAATTCAAAATAATCATACTCAAAAGGCTGGGTGTGACAGGCCTCAAGCAGATGTCCGATGGGCTCTGCGGTCACACAAATCTCTTTCAGGTACCTTAAGAAGAAATAGCCTTCCACGGTGTGGGCAGCCGGGAAGTGTCAACCGCCCTCACAACTCTGTCAGCACCCAAGTTTCTTCTGACTGCTATCCTCCTCCTCCATCATTACCTTCTAATCTTCCTTCACGTCTCTTAATTAATGATGCTGCATCATCTTCAATTTCTCCTACCTCTGCAGCCTTCGACAACGATCTGAGTCCACAGAACAGTGTCCCTGGTCTCCTTAAACCACGCTCCAAATTACATATTGGAGCCTTCAATGTCCGCACCCTCCGTCAAATTGGCCAACAGGCTTCGTTGGCAAAGACTCTAGCAACTCGAGGCATGGATGTGTGCTGTGTTTGTGAGACACGCATACAGGACCCAAGTGTGGTTATTCACCTGACCTCTCCTGACCAATCTGGTGAATCTGCAAAATTCACCCTTCGAGTTTCTGGAGATTCGATAGCTAGCTCTCGTGGTCTTGCAGGTGTAGGTATAGCATTAAGCACCAGGGCAGAAAACTCACTACTAGACTGGATCCCAGTTGATAGTCGCCTCTGCGCTATGAGGCTGAACGGCACAGTGAGAACTAAAAGGAATAGTGAGACTCGCCGTTGTCTCTTTGTAATCTCTGCTTACGCACCCACTGACTGTAGTTCGGATGAAGTGAAGGACGAGTTCTACCATAAACTGTCTAACCTCCTCTCGAAAGCCAAACGTTCGGACGTAGTGGTTGTTGCAGGTGACCTCAACGCACAGGTGGGTAGACTGAGTGAGGCAGAAAGGCACTTAGGTGGCACTTTCGGAATCCCAGCTGAACGTACAGATAACGGTGATCGCCTATTACAACTATGCTCAGATAACCGCCTATTTTTAGCCAGCACAAATTTCAGACATAAAGAAAGGCACTGTCTGACCTGGCGTCCACCGAGCTCGACTCAGCGATGGACACAGATAGACCACATTGCTATTAGTCATCGCTGGAGAGGATCGGTGGAAGACTGCCGCTCCTTCTGGAGTACGTGTTTGGACAGCGATCATGCGTTGGTCCGAGCACGTATATGCCTGCGTCTCAATGGACGTAGAAAAAATTTGGCAACAAAACCACTACGAGTTCTGCTGGACAACGAAAACACCAAAGCCGTGTTCAGTGAGAAGTTGGCTAGGCAGTTATCGGAACAAAAGACTGTCACTCATCCAGAAGAAGCTTGGTGCCATCTTCAGTCTACTGTAAAAGCAGCACTGGAGACTGTAGCCGACTCCAAGATAATGGCTAAAAAGAGCCAGTGGATATCAGCAGCTTCTTCCAAACTAATGGATGCACGTGAATGCATCCCTGCAGGCTCTGAGTACAATGAAGAGCGAGCGCAACTTAAAAATAAACTGACGAAAAGTCTGCGCAACGATCGTGAACAGTGGTGGGCAGCAAAGGCTAAAGAGATGGAAAAGGCAGCGGCGATCGGTAACAGTAGACAGTTATTTAGACTTATTAAGGAGACTGGGGGGAAATGGTCAACAACAGTTAGTGAGGTTATAGCGGAGAAGGACGGATCGCGATTCACTCGCAGGGAAGGCGACTGGGACGATGGGCAGAACACTTTGAGGAACAGTTTAACTGGCCTCCAGCCACCATTGCGCTGCCCGCTATCCAGTCGGACCCTGAATGGGACATAGAGACAGGTCCCCCAACACTAGAAGAAGTTGAGAAAGCGGTAGGTAGCCTGAAACGGGGAAGGGCAGCAGGACCAGACGGACTACCTGCTGAGGTATACAAGAATGGTGGTAGAGTTCTCTTAGTCAGGCTAACGGAAGTGTTAGCCAGTATATGGGAATCAAATACGATCCCCTCCGACTGGTCTAAGTCACTGATCATCCCAGTCTTCAAGAAAGGCGAGAAGTCCTCTTGTGATAACCACAGAGGAATCAGCCTGACAAACATAGTGTCTAAGATCCTAAGTTCTATAATTCTCCGACGCCTGAGTGGAGCTCGGGAACAGCAAGCCCGAGAAAACCAGGCAGGCTTTAGACCTGGCCGTGGATGTATCGACCAAATATTCACACTGCGCCAGGTCCTGGAACATAGGCATGCTTACAGACGCCCGACAATAGCTGTATTTCTCGACCTGAAGGCGGCATTTGACTCCGTTGATCGAGAAGTCTTATGGCAGTGTCTGTCACTGAAAGGCGTGCCTAGTAAGTACATCACCTTATTGAAAGCTCTCTACTCGAACACTTGTGGGCATGTTAGAGCCTATGGTGAGTTGTCCAGGGAGCTATACTCATCAAGTGGTGTCCGTCAAGGATGCCCACTATCCCCATTCTTATTTAATTTTATCATAGATATTCTTATGGAGGTTTCCCTCTCGTCACCTAATTACAAAGACGTTGACCGGACCACAGGTGAATTTTCCTTAGATCTAGAATATGCAGATGACATAGTCCTGTTAGGTGAAGACGCTGACAAGATGCAGAGTCTTCTGAACACTTTGAGTGGGAATTTGAGAATGTTTGGGATGCGATTTTCACCACCCAAATGCAAATTTTTGCTCCAGGACTGGTCTTCAGCGGTACCGCGGTTAACAATAGAGAGTGAAGTGGTTGAGTGTGTTGACCACTTCACTTACCTGGGAAGTAGGATCAACTCCGGTGGGTTAGTTGCCGATGAGATTTCTGCACGGATACAAAAGGCTCGATTGGCTTTTGCCAATTTGCGCCACCTATGGCGCCGCCGTGATATTCGTTTGTCTATTAAGGGTCGCGTGTACTGCACAGCAGTCCGCTCTGTTCTACTGTATGGCTGTGAAACATGGCCATTGAAAGTGGAAGACATGAGAAGGTTACAGGTATTTGACCACCGTTGCCTTCGTAGTATAGGACGTATTCCGTGGTGTCACCATGTGAGTAATGCAGAAGTTAGGTGTAGAGTTTTAGGGAGAAGAGGTAAGTCAGTCGACGAGGTTGTGAACCTTCATCGACTGAGATGGTTGGGACACGTACTACGTATGCCTAGTCACCGATTGCCTCGTCACACAATGTTGGCTGAGGTGGGTTCAGGCTGGAAAAAGGCCCGAGGTGGCCAGACTAAAACATGGCACCAATGTATGAAGTCTCTGACTGTTGGTTTAAGCCATGTAGGACGATGCAGACTAGGTGGTTGGGGTCCACGGGACAAGAGGAACCAGTGGTTGGAGACCCTAGGTGATATGGCTCAGAACCGAAGTCAGTGGCGCAGATGTATACACACATTATCCTCATCTTAACAACGCTATACCGAATCTCACTATTTTGTCACTCCTCTTTCCTTTCTTCTCATACTTTATATTTCTTTTGACTGCATTCACTTATCTTCATCCTTCACCTCACTACCTTTTTACTTGATGTGCTGATATGAGGTGTGGCAACTCGGACCGTTACGCAGTAATGCCTGGTCCTATGTTGATAATGATGATGATGATGACTGATCCACTAGGGCTGATCCCACTTCTCAGGTGAATGAAGTGATCAACGTGCTCAACCAACTGCCGTTACGCTGATGACATCTTGATCATGGGTGACAATTTACTTGATACATAGGAATTTCTGAAACGCTTTAAGCACCACCATCCAGCATTACAGTTTCCAAGCTAACGAGAAATACATCCTAAGATCTCATTCGTAGATGTTCTGCTGACGAGACTATGGTATACTGAAAAAGTCCATATACTGAAAACTAACATAGATTAGACGGTTGACAAATATTTCATTTAGAAACAAATATGTGTAACATAACACTAAGAACCACTAACACTGTTTCGTAGAAGATATTGTTCTTGAATTCAGAACGCAAGGAGGATGCTGGTGACAATATTCTGAAAAACTGTCCGGAATGAACGGTTTGTAAAATATCCCATACACCAAAATTTAAAGTAACATATCATAGCCCCACTGTAAAGGATAATTTGCCAAAACTGACCAGTTCAATGTAAGGACTATCGATTCTCTGATCTTTATGGATCTCTGTATTTTGATACTTCTTCCAAGCCCATCCTTCACCACATTTGAGAACATCTCCCGGTATGACTCAGTAAAGATTGAAAAAATCAGCCCTTCATCTTTTTGTGTAAAATTTGGTCGATACGAGACGTTGAACTTCGAATGCCTTATTCGACATCATTTACAAAAATGCAGCCAAATCTCCCTAAAAGTTTACACCATCACCTACCATATATTCCAAAAGCCTTGGCAATTAATAATTTGAAACCATACAAGTCATACAAAAACAATTTGTTAAATCTCATTGATTACCATGATCGTAATATGGTTAACTAATAAGGCATCTGAATATCTTGAACATTGGTTACTCCCATATCAAGATATCACAGATAGTCCCAGTTTCCTTCTTTTTCTTTTAAGTTCACTTGTTCTACATTAATATTATTATTATTGTTTCCATTGTATTCATATTTCTAGACTATTTCTCATCACATGAACATTTAAAGCTGTGTTATTCGAATATTGTTACTTACTGTTATCATGTTCCCATAAATAAAAATGAATGAATAACACTGGCTCTACAAATACCTTCCATATATTTCCGCTTGTTTCGATATGTTTTGCAAAATGCTTACCCTACTGACGAAACCGTATATCGTTTTTTTCCTGAGTTTATATGAAGTATGTCGTTATAATTATAATAATAATGATAATAATATGATTTGGCGTATGTGTGACTTCTTCGTTTGGCTTAAATTTAACTGCACCCGGCTTTTAAATCATAATACCTGTACATATGCGGAACCAATATCTAGCCATGTAATTGAAGCCTTCTTTTTGGCTGTATTGTAAAGTTGGAAATGAGGAAAAAAATTACGGTCCACTTGTTGTTAGGGTATCGCTCTACAATATATTTAGGAGGAAATGTATTATTAGTTTAATGTTTCATTCTACCCACCATATTTCTTATTTTTTTTGTTAGGGCACAAACGTGGCACAGTTAGAGCCCCCCAAAAATGGGCCACACAAAATAATATAACAATATTATGAAAATATAATGTGAAGGGAAGTAGGTAAAATTAAAACCCAATAAGAATATAATGCTTAGAAGGGCAGTCCAGTAAGGTATATTCAAAAACGGAACATTCATTACTTTTCAGCAGCAGAAGATAGAAGGAAGTTACAGCATGACCACCATTGGTTTCTATTTTGAGCCGTATCTGATAATGCCTCAAGTCACTGAGTCGCGTGATCTCTGGGACCTCACCTAGAGAGTCATGATTCATCAACAGATGCAAACTTGATACAAATATCCTTCGCCGCATGACATTACGTCACATACTGAATACTCCTCCGCTTCTTCCATCTAGTCCCAGGGTTAGCAAACAGTGAACGGTGTGGAAGCCGTTGGACGACATTTATAACATATGTCGAAGCCACCGAAGCCGATGTTTCCAAGTGACTTAACTGACTGGATGACGATCTCCATCATGTCGGAACACACGCTGTTGTAGCTCAGAATTACTTACATGGTGTTGCCACCGTATACGAGCAATCCTACGGAGATAACGATGATGAAACACAGAGTTGTCGCATATCCTCAGCTCAGAGTGACCAGGTTTCACAGGCGTAGAGCAGAACCGCTCTACTTTTCACGGTCAGACTAACGACGCGACGGCTCCAAAGGTGTTCCGGACTGACGTATGCCACTGTGGCTTCCTACATGTGGTTGGAAATTTCGTCACATGCATCCACCAGCACTCATACAATTACTCAGATACACGAACTTTCCGACCACTTCCAACGGCTCACGACCGACGGCGAACGCAGGAGAGGCTTCTGCCAATCTTGGAAGAGTACTTCGCACTTTAATAGTGCGAAGCACATATACTTACGGACTGTAATCGCCATTTGATTAGATGGAACCTGAACAGCCTATGTGTTATCGCACACTTGACTGCACTGTTATATCGTGATGTTTATAACCCGTTAGAAATTAAATGTTGAAGATATCTTATCTGTACCTGGGATTCAGTAACAGGCATTCACGTGTGTCCAACACGTTTCTATCTTTTGACTACTATATTCATAATCATCTGGTTTAAAATAAAACATTATGGGCTTACTCAACTGTTCTTATCTAAAGTTTCTTTGTAGGTGATACGTTTTCATAGCAAGGCGAAACAAAAAGCTTGTGTAATTTTTAATTTTTAGAAATTAGTTATTCTAACTATTATTAACTGGTTTTTTTAAAAATTTTTCTCTTCTTTAAATAAGGTTTTTGAAGTACCCAGCAAGTTAGACAGTATGGCGTTGACCATAAAACCAAATCCAGATTTATTGAAGTACAAATGCCTTGGAGAAGTAGCTGAGAATATTCTTGGTCGACCTGTACGTGTTCGTTGGCCCTATTGTGCCACAGTGATGCCTGTCCGGTTAATGAACAATAATGAAATGTAATGATCTATTGTTATTTTATATTGAAACAATTTACTAATTTTTTTTATCGGCGTAAAGTTTCGTCGCTTTTTCAATTAGTGCACTATTGTTGTGGTACTTAAAAATTTTCATTAGTTTGTTGTTTTTTGAAAGTTTTTCTCTATGATAGTAATGTTATATAAAATGCAGTGTATATTCTCTTAAATGCCATAAATCTATCATTTGGAGACATATTATAGATACTACTGATAGTCAGCAAAAATTGTTTTCAGTATTATGACATGATTGTTACACTGGAAACGAACAAGATTCAAATAAAAACACTCATTATCATCATCATCACCAACTGGTGAACGTGTCCTTACTTCAGTGATGAATAGTATGAGTAGTGCTACACTTCTGAAAAGATTATGGCTACTATCAAAGATCGATAATATTCAATAAAATTAATTTTGTGAAGTATTTTTTCTCCCAAGTTTTCCTGCAACAATTTCTGTAAGGATATTTATAGTTATTTGTCTCAAATCATTATCATCTTTTAAGTGTACTACTACTACTCACGTTAGATATTTATATGTCCATAAACCAATTATTTTGCCTTTTCAACATCGATTATCCATTTCTCAGTGATATTACTTAAAGATTCAGGCCTCTTCTAAATGTATTTTTCTAGCATAGATTCACTTTCTATCTAATCTATTTAAAATAAAAGTTGGGAATAAAATGCTTTCAAGATATTTCTACCATATATATATATATATATATATATATATATATATATATATATATATATATATATATATATAATTTCCAAAATAAATCTTGTATGAAAGCTTTGCGAATTTCCATTAGAACTTATAACTAGAATTTCATTGAAAGTTCTGAAATAAATATTACCAGGTTGGAAAACTTCTATCGAATTAATAGGAATTGTTATTCATTTCTGGAAGACATTTAATTCCTATTTATTGGGTCACATGTTCACAATCTGGCAATTTATTAAGGTTATTGTATTTAGCTAATAGTGTAACGACCAGTTGTTGATAAGTTTCCGTCTAGCCTGTAGATAGGTATGTTGTTGCAGGGGGGGGGGGGCGCAAAGCACTATGTTTGGTGGTGGCCACGAGAATCTGGAAAAGAAAAAAAGGGAGAGAAGAAAGGTGGGCCGATGACTCAGCAAGTACACAGGATGTACTTACATTTAATAACAAAAGATAACTGACAAACGGTAGCGTTGAACAACGAAGAGGTGAGGCGAAACTCTAAGGTCAACGGGTACAATAGTGTTAGCCCCTTCCGTACAGTTTATCCTATTTGCTGCTAGTTCATATATCATCAATTAGTAAACTGTTTGTCTTACATCTGATAACCTTTAGTTGCAAGAAGATCTTGACAAAGAAAAAAAAATTCACTTTTATGTTAAGTTTTACGTTAGTTCTCTTCAATCTACTTCTCTGCGAAGTCTGGATGACTATGATTTTTCATTGGCTTTCATGAAGCAGTTATCTCACCATCTATTGCATGAATGCCTAAATTGTTTAACCTTGTAATTTCCATCTCCTAACTATTTTCAATATATATATATATATATATATATATATATATATATATATATATATATATATATGAATCTTTTACGCTTTTGTTATCTCAGAAACAGATAATTATTGAATGTAAAAGTCTCTCATTATTTTTGATCGAAACATTTCATATTTACATTTTTCTTATTCAGTTGGGAGCTTGTAGATTTTAACATGAATCCAATTATTGAACCTTCAAGTAGTCTACCTTCAGGATCACTACGTTCTTGTCATATTTTGTCATCTGAAGAATCAGATAATCCTGATTCATCTTCAGAAGGTAAACGTGAATGCCTATGGGTTGATAATCAATTGTCAAGTTTAAAACGTTATTTGCTTAAACGTCGAGGAATTTTATTTGAATCAGAATCACATGATAACGATAATCTGTCAACTTTCAATTTGGAATTATTGCCATCGTCAATTTTAGTATTTTCTCGTCCCTGGATGGTTGGTCTGTGCTACCTATGCGTTCAAATTCTTCTAATGGTTTTTCTCTTATTCCAAATTTTGTTCGTTCTCGTGCTAATAATGGTGATGATATGGAACTGTCTGATTGTCCATTTGCATCCACCTGGTTCGTTCAGAGAATATGATTGAAAGTACTGGAAAAAGAGGTAGAAACCAAAAGACATCTGAAGAGAAACCTTCCATGAGTATAGAATCTGCCTATGGTCAGTGTGATGGCTTAGATCTCGATCTACTAGATCTAGTCCTTCCTGGTCTACCTCCACCTCCTGCAGTTGGTCGTTGTGAAGCTGATTGGGGATATACTAAACCTATTCTACTACATACTATTTTTCATCCTGGTAAAATAGTATTTAGTTTAGCTAGAGAAAATTATGGATCAGTTGGAGAAGTAGGTTGCTATCAGTTTAATCTGCATTTTGTTATCATGAATGCAATATTAATAATAAGTATATATATATATATATATATATATATATATATATATATATATATATATATATCCTCATTCGTGCTGAAGAACATAGAAACTACACAATACAACATCGAAATATTCCTGTAGAACTAGAGGGTTTACCAATCAAGTCGAGAATCTCTGTTTATGCCGTCTATCACAGTCATAGAATTGATATCGAACGTATTAAAATTTTTCAAAAAGGTTTTTTAAACTAAAAAGGAAGATATATAACTGAGACATTTCAAATTATATTGAATCCTGATGTGCTCAACAGAAAGAAAGGCCTTACTGTCCAACTAACTTGGACAGTATATCCGAAATAACACGTCACGCACAATATTCATAACAAAAGTCCATGCACACTAGCGAGTCGAATTTGTCACCCATTCTACTTATTTCTCACATTCATGTCTGTGATGCCGATCGATGAGATATCCGACTATCGATCAAAGGTTTAGTATACTGGGTTGCAGTTCATCCTGTCTTTTTATACGGCTGTGAGACGTGACCGTTGAAAGTAGAAGGCATGAAGCAACTACAGGGTTTTGATCACAGATGTCTTCTGAGCATAGCCTGCTTTTGGTGGAATCACCATGTGAACAATGTTGAGGTGAGACGATGGCAAGACAGGCTGGCAAGTCGATTGATGAGGTTGTGAACCGTAGTCAATTGAGATGAGTTAGATGTGTACTGCGGATGCCGAGCCATCGCCTACCTCTATATACCATCCTAGAGAAAGCTGCATTAGTTTTTTAAGAGATCGAGGTTGAGGGTGACCAGACCAAGACGTGTCGGCACCAGTCGATGAAGTCTCTTATTGTTGGTCTGAGTCGTGTGAGGAGATGTAGACTGTCTAGTTGGTGTCCCCAAGAATAAAGGAATCAGTGGCCAAGGGCTCTTGGTGATATGGCTAGAAGTCAGTCATAATGGCACAGATGCGTTCACTCTGTTGCATAAATACTTGCACTAACCGTTGTCTTCAAACTGTTTATTTTCTTACACAACTTTGTCAATTTAGATATCACTCGTTTTCTATCTACGTGTTATTTGTGTACTACTGTGAAGTATAGCAAGTTGTACCGATGCACGTATGTGCAAGGTTGTACGTTGATTTTGTCAGCTAGTCAACAAGTTAGTTCTGATCACCCACTGAGTATCATGGATGAAATTTATGCAGAGTTAATCTAATCGGCTTTTCGATAGGCAGCTAATTGATGGATATTAGTCATGCCTTCTAAATTTCCTCAGCGTTTTATTTGATCATCAACCCATAAGTACTGAATTGTTTATTTCGTTTGCTTTACCTCTTTTAATTATTTGCATAAGTTAATCCTTGAGCCTTACTCTACATTCAATCTTGCAAGGAATTAAACTGGCTTTGCTGACAGAACGCATTTCTAAGTCAATTTGATCCTCCTTCTCTCCTTTTATACATATTACTTGTGAAGGTCAGCATTAACATTGTTTGCATATTTCTTTGTATGTCGAATCATATTTAGGTTACTTTAGTGAATGAAAAGACTGGTCAGGTAATGGTCCGTTTCTATCCTGACTCCTCTTCACCAATTGATCTGACTGAATTTCGCAGTCAAGTTGAAGTACGTTATCACAATATTTAGTAAATTATTTATTCATACCCTGAGAACTATTTTGAAGTAATATATACCCCCTGTTTTGAAACAGTCATTAATATTTACAACTTACGAAATGAATGTATGGATGTAGATGCATTGTTAGCTAAGGTTTGGTGATGATCAAGCTTTCGACTATCTATGCTAATGATCGTCTTCAATCCAACTTCATATAAGCTGGATTTATTTACATTTCTTATCAGAATTTATGCCGCAATATTCTTTCTGGTTTGAATTCCATACAAGACTTGTTTATTTGATATATAGCGCACAGTGATGCAGTATTACTTACTTGACGTTCCGAGCATAAATTATTGCTCATAATCTTATCATTGTAATCACACTTCTTTCGACATCTTATTTTTATAGTCTTATCGCTTCATATTCTTTGTTTTCATCGGCAGTATGGTTTTCCATATCTCTGGTATAGGTGTTGCATCATTTCTATTACACGAGTTGGGTGTTATTTGCATGAACAAAACTTCGGTAACCAATCTCTTCCTCCACCTAATTATATTGGACTCAAATACAGTGGTTTTATCCCACCCTTATTGTATGGTTGTGTGTTAATCCATGCCTTGCAATAACCGAGTTTTTTCTCTAGATTGTTATTCCTATTGAGGTCTATCATTCTATATACAGCTAAATTCCTATGTTCTGCTAATCTAACTGACCCCGACCGTCTAGTTTGACCTATATAGTTGACTTCACAGTGATTGCATGGAATGTGGTACATTAGTTTATTTTATTAGATTGGGCCTACTACTGAGTTTAAATATGTGAGGAAATTATCGATATGTTCTGATTTCAATACAGTAAATGCGTCATGCACATATCGCCACTATATCTTAGGTGTAGGACTAAACGTTCGTGGAGCCATGTCTTCTCAATTATCCATAAATATATCTGGCACGATCGCGGATATTGGTGATCCCATTGCTACTGCTGCTGTTTGTCCAGGTATTTCCCCCTGAAACTTGAAGACCGGTGAGGTCAAATATAACTGTACACCTAATATAATTTCATCAACCGATATCTGAGTAAGTTTTGGATCAGTATTTAGTTGATTTCTGACTGCTTCCAGTGCTAATTTGATTGTTATTTTAGCACAAAGAGGTGTTGCGTTAGAACTATTTTTTCATCCTCTTCTGTGTGTTAGGCATTAAGCCTTTGTTTTAATTCGTAAGAATTGACTAGTCCAAAATTTGAACGGTTTCTAATGGGACATTATATTGATGCTAAGTACTTTGATAGTTCATATGTAGGGGTATTTCGAAAGTCAACTATCGGTTTAATTAGGATAACCTGGTTTATGAACTTTAATAGTACTTTAAATTCTGCTAGGATTATTAGTTTTAGGTGTTAAATCAAACCGTTTAGGCTCACCAAGAGATGGCTTTAGCTGGTGTATCAGTTCTGTTGTATATTTCTTAATTTTGTCCACGGGATTTTTGATCGCTTCATATGGTTTTGTTTGGAAATGTTCATCAAGGAGTGTGATTACACTGATATGATTATGAGCAATAGTAATTTATGCTCGAAACCTCATAAATTAAGTTAAACTGTACCACAGTGTTCAAGTTTTACACTTGAATTTCTGATTTCAAGTTGATTGGTTCACAAATCCTTTCATGATCTTTCTTGGTTCACGCTTTTCTGTCAATTAGCTTTTATCGCATTGACTATAGGTGATTATTTGTCTCTGAGTAATGTCAGTTCATTATTTGTGGGATAGTGGTATATCCTATTACAGTATTGTAGTATTTGTCTTAAATTTCGGTATATCAGAATCTCAGTTGTATTATTCTTTATATCTAGATTTTTCCCTTGGGTTCCTAGTGGAACATAGGGCTTCAGTAGCTCACCTCCATTTCACTCTGTTCTCTGCAGTCTTTTCAACCTGGCTTCATGACTCTCTACAAGCTTACATTTCTTCTTCACATGATCTCCACCATGTCACCCTCACCCCGGACTCCCAACTCATCGTTTCCCCTTCGGATTCCACTCAAGGACCTGGGCTGGCGCGTGATGTCTACAATCGTCCTTCTCAGTGTAGGCCCAATATAATCCATCTCCACTTTCTTCTGCATATTTGTTGGGTGATAGCTTCTTGGTTGGTTCGTTGCCAGCCAGAGTTCCTTGTTGCTTATTCTTTCTGGCCATCCATCTGATCCTCGGTATCGAGTGAGCGTAGTCAGCAGCTGTTGATGAATATCTGTAGTTTGTTGAAAGTGCTTTTCGTGACGCGCCAAGTTTGTTAACCATATGGGAGCACTGGCTTGACATTGGTATTGAAAATCTGGACCTTGTTCAGGCTTTATGCTGAGTGCAAAGTAGTAGATCTCCACACTGGTTTCAGATTAGTGAAAGCTCGTCTCGCTTTTCCGGTCCTGGTTTTGACATCCTCGTCTGTGCCGTCGCCTGCAGTTGAAACGATGCTGCCTAGGTAGGTGTGTTGAAGAGATTACTTCCTTTAGGTTTCTCCCGTTAATGTTGATTGATGCTTGTTATTGACGTTGTTGTTGGTTGGGTATCTTCACCACCTCTGTCTTCTCTACATTCACTTGTAGTCCCGTCATCACTGCCTAGCCTCTTCCGTCAACTTGTTAATCTTCGCCTGAAGATCTTCGAGTTTGTGCAAGAAGACATTAGACATAAATCATTATGGTAGAAATCCAAATCTTTTAGGGTCTTCTCATGGGTCCAGCGTATGTCCCTCTTCTCGCTCCCAACGGTTTGCTGCATGATCCAGTCCATCACAATCAGGAAGATCATCGGTGATAGTAGGCGGCAGCCTTGTCTTACTCCTGCCTTTACTTCAAAGGGGTCACTGAGCTTTCCAGTGTGGATCACTTGGCATGTGGCTTTTTCATATAGCTGTTGAATGAGGTTGATAAAGGTTTGTGGTACTCCGTAGACTTGAAGCAGTTTCGAAATTACTTCTCGGTCGATGCCTTGATCGAAAGCCTTTTCAAAGTCGATAAAGTTGAAGTAGAGAGTTGACTGCCATTCTATACTCTGTTCTATGACGATGCATAGCGTAGCGTTGCAATTTGATCCACACATGATTTGTTCTTCCTGAAGCCAGCCAGCCAGCCTGTTCCGGTCGTAATTTTGAATCCAGCCCATCCTTTAGTCTCTCCAGGATGATGCGGCATAATATTTTGCTTGTGGTGGATAGGGATAGGTATAGGAGCATGATTCCGTGGCAGTTCTTGCAAAGGCCTAGGTCCCACTTCTTTGGTAGTTTGACAAAGTAGCCCTTCTTCCAATCAACTGGCAGATACCTTTCCTTCCTTCGAAACCTTCTGTAGTAGTGGTGTGGTGTGAGCATGTTTGCTGTTGTCTCTGTGTCTATTTTGAGTGCTTCTGGTGGAATTCCATGTGGTCGTGGTACTTTCCAGGGTTTCAGCGGTTTTATGGCATTCAGGACTTCTGTTTTTGTTGGAGGGCCTTTGTTCACTGATAGTTCTATGGCTGCTGGTGGTATTTCTGGACGAGATGCAGGTGGTGGCCGATTGAAGAGTTTTTTGAGGTGGTCAACCCATTGTTTTCTTTGTTTCTCCTCTTTGGAGGTTATTAGCTTTCCTTCACTATCTTTCATTGGTTTCATCTGTGTTGATCTCTTCCCTCTCAGATAGTAATCTGGTTATTTGATATAATGTTGTCAGGTCTCTCCTACCTGCATCCTGTTCTGCTTCACTCGCCAGTGTTTCGCAGAAGTGTCTTTTGTCTTTGCGTGCACTCTTCTTCACTTTTTTGTCCAGTATTTTATATGTTGTACTGAGTTCTTCTTTTCGTTGTGCATCCTTGCACTGGTTTATCTTCTGCTTCACCATCTTCCTCTCCCTCCTCTATCAGCTTCCGGTGAGATCCATTTCTTTTCTTGTTTCCTTTTTCCTTCCTAATACGGCAATGCAGGTTTCTTTTCACATCTCTTTCAAAGAGTTCCAGCGTCCTTCCACGCAGGTTCCTTCAGAGATGTTCCTCGATGTCTCTCATTTTGTTCTGATGGCGGACGTGAAGATGTCGTTTATAGTTTCGTCCTTCAGTGCAGTTTCTGTTCTGGGTGTTGAACTTGAACTGTGGTCTATCACCAACTTCTTTGAAGATTTTCAACTTGATTTTGAAGGTAGGTTTCTTGCACTAAATAGTGAATGGTGTAAACTTACATCTGCTACCCTTCTTGATTTTGTGTCCAGTAAGCTGACTGCGTCTCCACTTTCTTGAGATTGAGATGAAGTCGATGTGATTTTTAGTGTAGTGTGTCCTGGTGTCTGGTGAAATCCATGTTGCTGTCTTATGAATATCCTTGTGTTTGTACACACTGCTTCCAGTCACCAGATCGTCGAATGCTCAGAAATCTGCAAAGAGTTCTCCTTTCTCATTCCTTTCACCGAGTTCCCTTCCTGTGTTGTCTGCTCCGAGTTTTTTGTCATTCATGCCACCCACCCCTTTTAGAATTTTGATGTCGCCAACTGGAGTCTTTTCCAGTACTGATTGCAGTTATTTATAGAATTCCTCCTTCTTCTCTTGATCTGGATTATTTGTTGGCACGTAGCTCTGATTGATTGTGACTTTCCTTCCTCTTGAGTTGAATGTTGCTGTCCCGATCCTGGAGGAGACTGGTTCGCACTGCATGAGAGCCTTCGATGTTCTTGGGGACATCATGACAGCCACTTCAAAACTCAGTTAGGTTGGTGATTGTCGTCTGGGTGACAATATCGGAGTAGATTATTGACACTCCAGTTGACAGTTTGGAGAGTCCACTTCCATTCCATCTGCTTTCGCAAGATCCTAGCACTTCCATGCCATGCCTCCTCATCTCTTCTGCAATCTGGGCATCCTTGGTTGGTTCATACATGGTGCGGACATTCCATGTCCCCATCGTTACTTTCTTTTTCATCGAGAGAAGAGTAGACACATCGGCCGACTGGCTTACCGAATGTTTTTACCAACCGGCGTCATTTCATCTCTTTGATTCCATCGAGGAATAAGTTTGTTTTTATTTTTTGTAACTTCTTTGTGCTTTGAAGTTTCTTTAGGGATTAGATTGGTTTTCGGGGATAGAGTTGATAGCCCTATGCTCAACCTTCCTTGTTTATGTGGGCTTAGGACCGGCTAGTAACCAGTGAACTAGTTAACCAGGCGAGGTTGAGTCTCATTTGTATGAGTGTCTAATTAGTATTAGATAGTAGCTACCCAATGTTTTGTCATGCACTGGAACTACTCATCAATATTGTTCACCATTGTTCTGTAATAGCTGAACGAAAGAAATGAAACGCATTCGACCACCATGTACACATTCGTACAGCAGACAACAAGTCATATCCACTGTGTAATGGCCATTGATGATACTACGTGGCTACCCAAACCTCCGTAGGGGTAGCACGGTTCGAACTCGTCGCTAAGTCATTGACCAAGGAGTACATAATTTCTGTCCAAAACTGTTTTTATTCTCATTTAATTGCACTACGACAGATTCACCACTTTTCAGTATGAAGTAACTGTGCCTTGGTGTCCACGTCGCATCATTTTATGCTTGATACTTGTTTCTAATTGTTTCAAGATGCCTAAGATAGAACACATTATTCTGGTCTGATAAGGTGATGTGAATATGGCGAGTTTTTCTAATGTGACGTTATCTCTTTAAAGGCTGTTACTATGGTCAATTATTTCTCTACTTTCAGGAATGGGAACATGATGACTTTCACACAAATATCGTAGTTTCAGAACAATTGAATGTTCCTGTCTTCATGGTGAATAGATTTACTGGCAGTTTAATGGTTCAAGTTGTATCTGATAATACTAATAGTAACGATAATAAGCCTACTGGAGTAAATATAAATTCACAATCAGACGAAAATTGTAAAAGTGATAATCCCATGGAAAATGCAAAAGATAAAACTAAACAAAAGTTATTCAGTAATATTGGTTTAAATTTAAAAAGAAATCGTTCTGGCGCCCAGGTGAGAGATTTCCTATTTCATTCCAATTTACTCAATAACATTTCTTTATGTAGCTTTTTTACTTTTTTCACGTCGAATTCCTGTCAAGTAATGTTGTTTAATGGACAGTAAACTTGCGAATTAGCTTTGTTAGATAATTCGCAGTCCTCTCTATCCTATTGTTCGACTGTATGACAAATGTTGAAAGCAGATATGTTAAAGCTACAGGTTTTGACGTAGATGTTGTTATAGGAATACTTGCATGGAGGGTGCAGTCACAATATGTACATTATTGTAGCCAAATGTGCAGTGCTGAAAAAGGAAGATCAAGCATTTGATAAGACTGTAACCCTACATTGACTGGTGTGGTTTGAAGGTGTCATCCATGTGGAAATCGAAACGCACTTAGCCACGTTGTCTACATGTGTACAGTAGGCATGAGCCAAACCTAATATGTGAGAGCAGTGTTTGAACCTGTGGTTGGAAGTCAGCTACCTAAACTGAGGAGCCATAGCTCCACTCCCATAAAATCACTGCCCACTTCGACGTATGGTGTTAGGTGAAGTAGGACTTGGTTCGAAATAAGCATATGGTGACCAAACGAAAATGTGATATCAGTTTTCGAGGCATCGAACTGTCTATCTGAAACATGTAGATTCTGCCAAGAGATTCCTTGATGATGCAAAGAGCTAATTGCTGGCGATGATGAATATCATGGCTGGAAACTAGTTGTTGTAGTGAAGATGTAAGTTGCACTGATCCTGTTCAGAATGTTGAACTTTTTCATTAATCTTTATTTACTCGTTCCTTATTCGCTGGTATACTTTTGTGTAACTAAATATCATTCTGTTTTTATGCACTTCTTTTTATTGCGCTATGAAGTTCCGCGACTCCAACTAATGCATTTCCGTATGGTGTAACCACTATGCGAGTAATGTCAAGGTTAAGCAAAGGGTGGTGGTAGATAATGAAGAGTGATCAGAGAATGAGGTTGTGAACCTCCAGTGATTGACGTGGCTTGGGCATATGTTATGTGTACAAAACCACCGCCTAACATGACGTTCATTGTTAGCTGAATTACTGTCGAGTTATAAGTAAAGGTAGTTATATCAAGACGTGGTAGCAGTCTGTGAAGTTTCTGACTGATGGTCTAAGCGGTTTATGAAAGTGTAGAATGTCTCGTTGGGGTTCCCGAAATAATAGGAATCAATGGTTGGAAAGCCTCAGTGATATGGCTGTGGAAATCGGCTGCAACAAATTCACTGTTTGACGTCTTCTAAAGCTTGGATATTTTCACTAATGTTCAGTTTCAAATTCCTTTTTCTCCCAAACACTCCTCCACTTGTTCTTTGCATGCTACTGTGAAGTGTAACAAATTGGACCGATGAACTTCTATGCGAGGTTTTGCGTTAATTTCGTCTGTCTTTGGTATCAGGTTCTACACTGATTTGTTTGAATATCGGTTACTGGTTTATTTTGCGTGTTTCAGTTTGAGTGGCTGTGGTATTGTTATACCCGAATCTTGATTCATGAACCTATAGATAAGTATTGGCTTCTAATGAGGTGCTCTTTTTCATAGTTTATCACATCAAAATTCAGAGAAAATAGTCAGTCATATGCATTTACATTGTGATTTCATCCGTTCGCTGCAGAAGCAGTAGTAACATGTTTTTCTGTCTTGAACGACCACGTTTCTTAGAATAGCATACAGTGAAACGATGAGAAGTATACGTATCGGATTTTTTGTTGACATTAATGCGGCCTCTTCTTTTCAAAAAACGAAATTTTGTCACTCGATATAACGTTTTTAATAACCGGTGGTAGATCACTACCCTCTCTCTTCAAATTAGGTACGAGAATATCTCACAGGAACTTTTTATCTACGTAAAAGTGTACTACGTGAAAAACCTGAGGTTGTAGCTTGGTGTATCCCATTGATAAAATGATTGTTAGCACTCCTTTCACTAACTGGACACATGATACAATATTCTTTACTCTTGGGATTCTTTGCACCAGGCTAACTAATGCATATTACTTTGTGTATTTCTTATTTTGTCTCGTCATACTTGGTAAATTCTCTTTTTTTTCGTCACTTTGATGACGATGAAGACTTTGTTTTATCTTCGAATATTTTAATCCCACACTTTTAGACATGAATGGTAGAAATGTTTCCCTAGTTTGAAGTTATTTTTTGTTTTCACATATGTTCTGTTGCCCTAGACAATATTGCGTTAATGAAGAGATCAAATTTACGTTACAATGACACTTAGTGTTAAGTAATATCTAATATACTATTACATGTTGAATTCAAAAAAGCTGATGTTTTCAAATAAGTGACCTTGTATGGTCGTTAATTAATTGTTGAATCCGTAAATAAGACAATTGATCCTGAGTTGAGTAAATAAAGTGTGTACAGTGTTAACTGTTTTTACGTCGAGATGATATTTTCAAGAATAGCTGTGTTTGTTAAATATTAAAAAAAAAACAGAATATGCAGCGATTATTTCAGGAAATTCTCAAAACATGAACACAAGATCCAGCTCCATGTAACCAGCAAACTTATTACATAAACGGGTATGTGTTCAGATCACTTTTAGACCTTTTGCTTTGTAATTCCATTCAGTCTATTCAGCCTATTTTGTAAACTATATGTGAAAAACACAATTTTATAAACATTCACCGTCATAAACTTGTGTCGTGAAGGGACAACGACTGAAGAAAAATAAAATGTTGCCATTTTATCTCGCCGATTTCTCATCAACCACTTACAACCTAAAACACATTCAACTATCATATGATGGAGGAATTCGAACAAATTTTTCGCTGTTAAATGAGGTTAATTAGCAAGAAATGACACAGTTTAATAACGAATACTAACATCCAGATAAAGTTAACAGGACATGCTAAGAAGCTTATGTTTTGTATGTGATTCAACAGAGAGTTCGAGAAAAGAACATGGTTAGTTATGAGAGATTACGTAAGAAGATTAGCAAGTCGGTTAGTTGATGATAAAGACCAGACAAACTATCTAATAATAAAATGAGTTGAACTTAGTTGACAGAACGATGAACAAAATCATGTACGAACAGGAAAAAGGTTCAGTCAAAAGAGGAAGAGTAAAATCTTAGGTTGTCAGGGTAAATAAAGACCTATCACTGCTTCGTTTTAAACATAATCCGAGTTCGAGTCATGTGATCGCTAAAACCTCAGCGAACTTGAAAAGATTCGATTTACATAGTTTTTTTTATTACCTTAAAGGATTCTAAGGTATCTGCTTGATGTTTTGCATCGATTAGATACTGAGGGATTGTGTTACTGAAAACTTTTGCTTCTTTGAGACGTGGACATTTCGGTAAGTGTTCAAAGAATCTAAAGTGTTCCCTTCTCTCCTCCCAATATAACTGCTACCACAGATGCACGTAAACTCGTATGCACCATTAGAGGTAGCATGGGTAGGGAACCTGTCGATTTTGATATTACCAATTAGTAAGTTGTTCTGTAGAAAGGGATCAACTTGGCTGCAAGATGCGTTTTGTTCAGTGCAGTTTTCAACCGTTGAAATTGAGGCCAATAAAGCCCAGCTTCTAATTCATTGTAGTTTTCTTTGGCTTATTGTCATCAGATCTTCCATATTCATTGATAAACGTCTGTTTAGCGAAGAGTTATGCTTTTCAGCGAAATTATTCTCAAGCTGTACAATCGCATATAAATATTCTGTTCGCATACTACTAGAAAATGAATGTTTCATGAAATATTTTGAACGAAGTTCACATCTGAGATCGAAAAAAGATTTATAATCAAATGTGAACTTCGTTCAAAATATTTCATGAAACATTCATTTTCTACTAGTATACGAATAGAATATTTATATGCGATTGTACAGCTTGAGAGTGATATCGCTGAAAAGAGTGATTCTTTGCTAAACGTGGTTTGTTTTATAACTTAATCGGGATTATTACTATTTATTGATATGCTTGTAATTCTCCGTTGTTTTATTGGATCGAATTGTTCGACTTCGGGATTTTTAAACTATTGAAACTTCCAGTGTTATTGCTTGTATTATAGCGTCATTCATTGGACCGAATTGATCGGTCTCTATTGACATATGGGCTCCTGCGTGGATCCTTCGACACTGCCTGTGTTTTTACTTATGTAGTAATGATGGATAGTGGCTAGCAGTGGAATCCAGGATACCCATTTCGTGCTATTTGGGACTCGTCAGCTGGTTGTATCTACCTCCCAGTAAGTGATTCGCATCCTGGATTCCACTGTTAGCCACTATCCATCACTACTACTAAAACTTTTCTTTGTAGCCGTTATCCTGCAGTTTATGATTTGAACATATCTTTCTAGCTCCATAACATGGCGTTTTGACCAATGTCTAAAATTCGTTTTGTCTTTCATGTATAACTTTTAAATTCTGAATGAACTGATCAAAGACTATCAACCAAGACACTGTATCCTTCTTTATGAAAATTGATCGGTTTCTTCCATTTAATTTTTTTTTTTCTACGTAATGTTGACTTTCCAGCAAGGATTCAAGTACATGCAGTGCATTTAATGGGCTTTCATTGTATCACTGTGAAATAACATTATCCCTATAAAAACTACTGATATTTGTCCTATTCAACCAGGTGATCAGACAGATATGAACGAAGTAGAACCCGGTATGATTATAATTCTGTCGAACTTTTAACAGTTCATATCAACTCTTTAAAGAGGACATTAACAAGGGGGAGAGTAAGTGAGATGAATCACCGCATAAAGCCGACACTTTTCACCTTAGTAAGATATACGCGAGAACCGCAGGTAGCTAATATTATTTTGATTATAGATGATTGGGTAGGAGAGATCTTGCAATTCACTGTTATACAAGATAAATATCAGATACCACCACATTCATCCGGAAACTTCTTTACGTCCTGAAGAAATTATTAAGAGTTAGCTTTTAGTCATTTTCTACACTACTCCTTGTATAATTTCTTTTGTGTTTTCGAACCAGTTGTTCAAGATCATCTCAAACTGTTTGATTTTGACAATTGAAATTTCGAGCTTTTATCCTGTTTGATGCAATCACCTGAAGGTGAAACAACTTAAGAACACATTTAGAAACAATCACACATACTTCACGTCACTTCTTTGACTCCACCTACTGTCGAAATCTCTCCAGTGATATTCGATCACTTTCAGCTGCATATGTTTGTATGTGTATGTTGTATAAATTTTATTTCCAGTTGATACTGGGACCTTTTTGTACCAATTTAGAAAAAGAGAATGACTGCACTGCCGATCTGAAATGCATAAGTATGATAACTTTTTTTTATCAAACCTCAGGTGTTTCTAGGAAGTTTATTTCCCAAATCTCTGCAGTTGTAGTTGTAACTATTGTCTACACGTCATGGTAAGCAACATTCGCATACAGCCTTTTCAAAAGATGATACTATTTCATTTCATGGGTCAATTGGAATATATGAAATATTTTCCCAATTTGCAAAAATATTTTCGTGAACTGGTCAGATATGCTTAAATAGACGCACATAAACATATTGTATTCAGAAGTAATATTCAGTATCCATCTGGACATATTGACTCATGGCTCCATTGAATTTATGAGTAGCCAGCTTATATCATCGCTGATGCTAGTGACATATCCGATCACCTATTAAAGGACGAGTAAGATGATGCTTTAGGACTGGTCTACAACTACTCTTCCTAGTTTACCGACATGAAGCGATGTGGTAGAATGCTTTGACCACTTCATATACTTGAAGAGTTGCTTCAAACCAAATAGGCTGGTCGCTGACGAAATCTAACCTCAGATACAGATAACCTGTTTGGCATTTGCCAACTTGATTCATCTCTAGCTCCAGCGCGATATTCGACTATCTGTCAAGGGATATGGAAATTCTAAGCCGCAGTCCTTTCTCTCCTTTTATATGCCTGAGATATGACCGTTGAAAGTAGAAGATACTCAGGAATTACAGGCTTTCGAATACATGACTTCGCAATATTTCTCATATACCCCACCATAAGTGCGAAGTGTCGAGTTTAGGCGAAGGGTAGTTTTCGCGGAAGGTAAGTCGGTTAGTGAGGTTGTGAACTTCTATTCAGTGAACTGGTTTGAACAAATGTTGCTGTACGTGCTAAGCCAACACCTTCCTTGACGTGAAATGTTAACGATATTAGTATCGGGCTAGAAGTGTGCTCTGGATATCCATACCAAAATATGGTATCAGTCTGTAAAGTCTCTGACTGATCTGAGTTGTGTAAGCAGGTGTAGAGTAACTGGCTGGTATTCTTGAGGTAATAAGAATCAGTGGTTTAAGACTGGAGATGATATGACTTAAAATCAGTCACTGTTACAGATGTATACTCTCTTTATTATCTTTAAAGTTGTGAATATCCTCGTTAATCGTTATGTGTTTATTCTCCTACCTCTCATACACTTGTTTACTTTGATGTCATTTTTCCGATCCACTTTTTCTTTGCATGCTACTATGAAGTGTGGAAACTCTGACCGATGCACTTCTGTAAGAGACTCTATGTTGATTTTAACTGTCTGTCCCCCTGCCCTCCTGAGAGTAAATTAAACCGTGTAAAGTTGGATAAACCTAGAGTTTTGTCCATCATCACATTCGCTACGAATTTAGATAAAAATGGTGATAAAGAACATTTTAGTCAGACGCCATTGGCTGTTCGTACTATAGATGACAGTTTTCCATAAGTTATAGCATGGTTGTGTGAAATTGAGTAGATAGCTTTGATTAGCATCATGCACCTGTCTGATATTCCTTTGGCAGTCAGATGCTACCACAACACATCTTGGTCGAAAGAGTCGAATGCAGGTGTCGGCCACCGGGTTAGGGTGCATATGTTTGAAAATATTCGATGGATTAAGATCTGATCGATGCACTCTCATCCACGTTTGAAACCAGCCTGATTTTTTCTAGTTAGCCCTTTCTGGAGTTACAGTTAACCGTTGGATAACTATGGTTCCTAAGATCTCGGACACGATGTTAACTGATTCCTCTATAGTTGTCATGGGATGACTTCTTTTCTTTCTTATGATCTAGGGTCCCTAGACGTTGTTTAGTCGTCCACTAAGCAATCATTACCTCAAGTAATGCTCTATTCACGTCCCCTTAACCCATTTTGTTTCCGTCTGTAATGTGTCTAAAGGATATGATTGCATTGTCATCTCTCTTTAAGTAGATTGGATTATTATTCTATATTTATCTTATGCTTTGCCTAAAGTACCTTACTTAGGCTTGTCCCATTTCCTATTTGTCATCTGTTTTAAGAATTTTTTATGTATATTTATGTTTTCATTAATCAAGAGTTACATGAAGTACGAAGGAAATGAGGAAGCTGTAAAAATTCTAACTTCTTACCATTTACCCCTAATCCCATTCCTTACTGCCAATTAAAGTAAAGTACTGAGAAGTCTCTTTCAGGAACACATTAAGACAGCAGAAAAGTGGAATAAAAGTTTGCGGATCTTGTTGCAAACAGCTTCTTCTATGCGTTCCAATTTCTTCCCTATAAATCTTTTACCATGTTCTGTTGTTTTTTTAAAAACATTTTAGGTCTTAGGTTGGTCACGATTCTGTACTGTTCGTCATACATGGTTGTTTTCCAATAGAACTGTTGATCTACTTAAGGAATTCAGTGAAAAGTTCCCAAGCGTTTGGAATAAAGTTTGAAATCCTCAGATGCATCTAGTCGAAATAATGCATGCCTAAAACTTAGTTCGTAAGTTTTGCTTTAGACAAAGATTTAGTATATATATGAATAATTTCTGTATGCTTTGAATTAAAGATGTTATCATCACAATAGATTTTATGTTTCGTTAATGTGAAACACAGGCTAAGTTGATTTCGTTGACCAGGTTATTTTGCTCTTTTTTTTCTTTCAACGCTGTGTATTATGCTTAGATACAATTTCCTACTGGACGTTCTCTACGTTTTCTTCACTAAATTGTAATGAGGAATTATGAACCGTTTCTAACTGCTCCCGTCTTAGGTAGACTACAATTGATAGGCTAGCGAATGGTAGGAAAATACTTGACTTCCTTTCAGGATTTCATTAGTTCTCAAGTTGATTAAGTAATCTCTGTGATCCGAGTAGCATGATGAACTTATATTTTTGAACGTTTACTGATCAGCTTGATCTAGAAGCGTATTAACAAATATTAGGCATTTGAAGGAACAAGAATTTTATCTGGAGGTTTGTAGAGGTTTAATTAACTGATTTTAGATTGGAATTTATTGTGGACTGACATCACTTAGAGGAACGCTGGAAACCTGGGAGCACTGGACAGCAGTTTCGTCCTAGTATGAGACTCCTCAGCAGTGCTCACTCATGACCCCCACCCCACCAGCGATCTAACCCAGGACCTTCAGGTTCCATGACCAGTACCTTACCGCAGACACATCGGGTCGGAATACAATGGTCGACATTCCCCACTTCTGTAAGCTCATGATATAGCCCGACCTACATCCAATGTCGTTCATTGCGTTTGCCTTAGGCATACCATGCATGCCGCTGGGACTAACAAAAAGACCTTGATAGGTAACTCCATTTTCGTGAATCATGAGACTTAGTTGATTTGTTTTCGTAATTTATAATTGGCCATAAGACCTACAGTGGAGTCAACGAAGTCGAACATGAGGACAGTTAATCAACGACGACATTGGATGTGAGTCGCGCTATATCGTGAACTTACAGAAGTTGGAAATATGGACCACTGGATTCTGACTCAATGGCAAAGTGCTGGTCATGAAACCTGAAGGTTCTGGGTTCAGCCCCTGGCGGTCCGAGTCATGGGTGCGCACTGCTGAGGAGTCTCATGCTAGAACTAGACGGCTGTCCAGTGCTCACAGTTTTCCAATGTCCCTCCAAGTGATGTCAGTTCATGATGAATCCCCACCTAAAATCAAAAAGGAATTTGTTGACCTGTGCACAATATTCCAACTCCCATGACAGTAAGGGCTACTAATTCTTCATCTTTTCTCTGATAAGTGCTTTGTTTAGATCAACATAAATTTTAACGAAGATAAAATGTCGTTCAACCTTATAACTATCCAAGTCAACCCGACTATAAACACTTTTCACATATTTACTAGCTACCACTAGAGATTACAGATAGACTTCAGCTCGTTCTAAAGCATGTACTTCTATTCTAATTGTGCTTTTTTTTGCCACTGAATGTAACATTCATTTTCCCTGACTCAAAATCAGGTTAAGAATGCATATACCAACAATTTTCATGAGTTGCTGTCAGCGGTTGTCAAAGTGTTACTGCACCAGTCTGCCATTCATGTCAAGGCAACAAACTAGCGTATACCTGTAGTAATGGCAGATACATCTAATAGCTTTCCGAATAAAACCATACGAGTAGACATTAACAGTTTTGATTAAACTGGTTATTCTCCAAGGCTGATTGAATAAGGGACGGCTATTTTTAAGAGTAACTTTAGTAAATTGGTGGTTATGATTCTTATGATTGAAAGAGGGAATGTGTAGGCAGGTGCGACACCACATAACAGTTTAACTCTCCTGAAAAACTCCCCTGTCACTTACGTTTCATTCTTAAGGTGAATTAGACGTAGATGAATGCTTTCTTACCTTACATTAACACGAGAAGAATTCGAGGTATCTAAGTCAGAGAAGACTAAAAGGTCCTGATAAATTACTAGTCATAATGTTCTAATCTTCATTTGGTGTGTGGGACTATTTCCACGTCTCAGCATAACTAATGAAATAATAAAGAGACAAGTAGGTTTAAGATAATGATTGACTAGATATTTTAAACACTTTCTACGCCACTGATCTGACATTCTGCCTCAAGCACTATGCCTTATGTAGTATGCCACCATCAGCTCCTCTTAGCTTAGTGGTTTATCCACATGAAGGTCACTTCTTTCATCATTTTCTTCTAATGCTATTTTTTTTGGTTCATCTTTACCTTTGCACAGTCGAATAGTAATGGGAAGTTTTGAAATACTCATCGTAGATGTTATGAGGAATATTAGTTAAACCCTCTAAATGAAAGAAGTCTTATCTCGAATTTTTGTGATTCAGTTTCCTATACGACTGATTCATTTAAATAAATTTAATAGGGTTATGTTGTTGTAGATGTGTGTTTCATCTGCTAAAATAGAATATGGGTAATTACTTTTGAATAAACATTGTTGTCTCAGAGTATTGCACAGATGCTAATAAAGCTTTCAATGTCATATATCGTATTCCAAAAACACCATGTGTAGCTTGCCGACACCCGTTCAACATGACCGGGGCTGTCGCAATAAAGTTGGTCAAACCTCAACTGTACATTCAGGAGGAATATGTCTAACCGTTACTTCTTCCTTGACCTTGAGTAAACTAAAGATCATTCCTGTCTTCTTTATTCGTTTTTTCGTTCACCATCGCATTATTCATCTGTATATATTTCACTCCAATATTAACCATTTCAAAAAAGAGAGGCTAATTTCCTAACAGTCCCTAAATCTCGCTCCACTTTGAAAATACCCCTAACTTGGCTTGATTTCACGCTGTACAAATACACTTTATAACTGTAAAACCTCATAAGAATTTATGTAGAAGAAAAATATTCTCCGTTCAGATATTTGGTTTTTATTACTGTCTTTATAGTTATCTTCCTGAAGTAAAGTGAATAAAAATATGAAATAATGCCTATGCAGCTCCATTATAACGATGATCATTACTGTTTTGTAGTAGAGTTCTGTTGCTGTGTTAGTTTCAATATGGAAAGTTATTCTGCAGAAACTTTATACGTGATCATTTATTTATCTTATACTCTTAAACACAAACTTCATACAACATATGTACCAAAGAGTTTCACCACACTATGTCATCGTGTGACAGCACCCATAGAACACAGGAATGACAAGCAGGTGAATCGAATTGATCATACCTAGGAAAAGAAGTTAAATAAATGCAGTATATTATCATTATATTATTCTTCCCTGGGTTTCTAGTGGAACATAGGGCTTCAGTAGCTCGCTTCCATTTCACTCTGTTCTCTGCAGTCCTTTCAACCTGGCGCCACGGCTGCCCACAAACTTTCATTCCTAACTCACATGATCTCCTCCATGTCACCTTCGCTTCGGACGCCTAACTCATCGTTTCCCCTTTGGATTCCACTCGAGGGCATGGGCTGGCTAGTGATGTCCCCAATCGGCCTTCTCAGTGTATGCTCAATCCATCTCCACTTCCTTCTGCATATTTGTTGGGTGATAACCTCTTGGTTGGTTCGTTCCCAGAGTTCTTTATTGGTTATTCTTTCTGATCTGATCTTCAGCATCGAGCGTAAGCAGCTGTCGATGAATGAGGTTGATAAAGGTTTATGGCACTAAAACCGTAGTGTGGGAGCAGCTGTCAAATTACTTCTCGGTTGACGCTGTCGAAGCCTTTTCAAAGTCGATAAAGTTGATGTAGAGAGTTGACTGTCATTCTATACTCTGTTCTATGATGATGCATAGCGTAGCGTTGCAATTTGATCCACACATGATTTGTTCTTCCTGAAGCCAGCCAGCCAGCCTGTTCCGGTCGTAATTTTGAATCCAGCCCATCCTTTAGTCTCTCCAGGATGATGCGGCATAATATTTTGCTTGTGGTGGATAGGGATAGGTATAGGAGCATGATTCCGTGGCAGTTCTTGCAAAGGCCTAGGTCCCACTTCTTTGGTAGTTTGACAAAGTAGCCCTTCTTCCAATCAACTGGCAGATACCTTTCCTTCCTTCGAAACCTTCTGTAGTAGTGGTGTGGTGTGAGCATGTTTGCTGTTGTCTCTGTGTCTATTTTGAGTGCTTCTGGTGGAATTCCATGTGGTCGTGGTACTTTCCAGGGTTTCAGCGGTTTTATGGCATTCAGGACTTCTGTTTTTGTTGGAGGGCCTTTGTTCACTGATAGTTCTATGGCTGCTGGTGGTATTTCTGGACGAGATGCAGGTGGTGGCCGATTGAAGAGTTTTTTGAGGTGGTCAACCCATTGTTTTCTTTGTTTCTCCTCTTTGGAGGTTATTAGCTTTCCTTCACTATCTTTCATTGGTTTCATCTGTGTTGATCTCTTCCCTCTCAGATAGTAATCTGGTTATTTGATATAATGTTGTCAGGTCTCTCCTACCTGTATCCTGTTCTGCTTCACTTGCCAGTGTGTGAATAGATCATGTAGAAACGATTTCCCTCATTAAATTGTTTAGCGTATAATATTTCTTCTTTTTTTTTCAATTAATTTTAGGTTGTATATTTTATCATTTCTTGAATTATGCATTAAGTTTCCAAATTATTTTTCTTTCTTCAACATAGGAGTGAAGTTGACAAGATTACAGAGTTCATTTCCGATTCTGGATGTAGAATTGCTCCAGTTTTACCTCAAAATGGCATGTATTTAGATAAGGAATGGTTGAACAAATTGAAATTATTATATTCTAAGATGGATGACAAATCTCTTTGTGATGTTTTTGATCGTCTTACCTGGAGTAAAAAACCTTCAGTAAAATGTTCACCTACGGCTTTGTTTGTTGTAAGTTCTTCATACTTTGTTTATAGACATTCACTTTGGTATTGATAATTTTGATTTACCATTTCTAATGTATTTTTATTCATTGGGAGAAATGAAACTCAATAGAATTTTGTTGTTCTGTTAGACATATTTTCTTACAGTTCTGTACCTGTTCAACACCTACTTGTGTTTGTTTAGCGTTTAGACACTTTTTAGATTATCGAATCAACTTTCAACCAATACGTTACGAGTTCGAAAGTCATTTTATCTACCAGTGTTAACGTCGTAAGAGAGTTTTCTTACATAGTATATTCACCTTAGCTGGCATTTTACGTATCCATTGTTACTTCTTATTTCATGTTTATAGATGATCGTTTAGTGTGAATACTAAATAAAAACCTTTTTGTTTGATTTGTATAACACTAATTCAATTCTGTTTAGAAACCAGTAGCTCTACATTGAATATTGGTCGCTCTAATTCAGTCCTCGTCAAGCTCAACTCTAACGTGTAACTGTGACAGTGTTAGTTTTAATCTGATACAAATAATTTGCAGATGTATTAAAGGAAAAAGATTATTCAATGAAGTACAAGATTCTGTACTAGATTCCTAACCAAAAGTATTATGTTTATTTATCATACTCTCTTGTGATGTAAACATTGGTAGATAAAACAACCCTGCTAACCCGTAACATATTGATTGAAAGTTGATTCAATAATCTGGAAAGTCTCTGAACGCTAACCAAATACAAATAGGTACAGAAATGTATTGTGTAAGTAGTAAAAATATAAATAAAGGCATCCAACGATATTTCTTTACATTGTAGACCATCATAATTTTGTACAGTGAATGATAGGACTTGTCTGAAATAGCAACTGCTAGACACTATAGTAATCTAGTCATTTCACTGAAACTTCTCAGAAAGAAAAAAAATTTCAGTAACTGGATACGAAATTTGTAGCTAAGACATAAAAACAATATGTTTATCATGAATCCAACCAAAAATGGACTTTGTTCAAAGTTATTGAACATGTTATATCCACCACTAACAGTACCATGCCTTCTTTTATTAAGTCCCATAGGGAGTAGTATCTCTTTGATGTGTTTCTGTTTCTTATTTAAGTCTTTTGATTTGTTAGCCAAATTCCTAACCTGACTACGTAGACATTTTATCAAACGTCAATTAATAGATGATATGGTGTGCAAATTGTACCTGCAGTCGTCAACTGTCGATAAATTCTCCTCAAGTTCATAGACTATCTATTTGTGGTTCAACTTACAAAGACCGTAAGTCCTAAACGCATAATCCTATTTAAGGTATAGTTGTATGCTATTGTGAAGTCCAACGGTAGAATGAATTGGCTATTTATTACTCCCTTAGTTTTTAATTGTTCTTTATTTAGTGCTAGTCGTTGATGAAAATTATCCTCATAAATTTCTAAAAATATCAAGAGGGAAAACTAAATTCTTTGTCTAATATATTTGTCTACCCTTAATAAATGTTTATTTGTATTGGACTAGGTTTAATAACATTTCATATACAGCTTAAGTACAGAAATCATATTTCTGATAGTGATACTGAAATCTTTTCTTTAAGGTTTTAATCTTAATGAGTTGCATTTTACTTTGTCTACTAGGTGAACAAACATGTTTCTTCATCAGTTGTCCATTGTTACAAATTCTGTTGTAGGTATCCTAACTAATCTTTTGTAATAAAGTATAAAACATGGTTAAACGCTTCATTTTTTTTTCTAACAAAAATTTACTGAATACTATTTTACGCTTTTCGTCCAAAAATACAATGAAATATGTATAATCATTAATTATCTACTTTTTCTTTATCTGACCTCGTTTTCCCTGTGTTTTTTTTTCTAATCTTCAGTCAGTGAATTCCAATACAAGAATATATCCATCTTCTTTTAATTTAGCACCGTCTGATCGTTGTTTTTATTCATCAAGTTGTTCATCTGTATTCAGTACATTCACATTATTGGATAGAGTTGTTTATATTGGTGTAGGACAAAATATTCCATTGGGATTACGAGGTGTTGTCATTGGTGTACCTACCGGTAAGAATCATTGTTTATCTCTCTCACTCTCCCTATATATATATATATATATATATATATATATATATATATATATATATATATATATATATATATATATATACTTTCATTTGATTGCTGTGTTTCACTACATCGAACAATGGCTTATTAGTCTTGACATTCTATTTGCTATCAATGGGTCACATGGTAGAACCCATCTCCACTTGCTGAGGTGTGGATAGTCAGGTACTATGATTTCATCTCATACAATAAGTGTGATTCATTGTCTTTCTCCTCAAGGTTACCAAGTGAATTGACTTAATTGTATTATTTAATATTTCAGATTAACTTCTTAAGACTAGTAGAAGTATGTGAGAAACGAGAAGACGTAAAGCGAGGAAGTAAAAACCTTATTGTATTTGCTCTTTTCTGTCATCAGATTGTTTCGTTGGAGCACACTTAACTTGTTTAGTTCCTTTTACTGTGTGTTAGCTTAAGAGAAATATGATTAATCATGTGATTAACTTATACTGATTTGAAATGAATCTTTGAAAATATTTTTCAGTCAAGTTTTGTTTTGATCAGTAAAGGGTGTTTTTTAATATTAATTAGTAGTAGTTATTACAGACAAAATTATAAGACATTTAAGGTTAAACTGTGGAGAATGCTCATCAAATTTGTTTTTGGCGATATCTTCCTCCGACACTCAACTTTTATATAGATACCCAGAGAGATTCACAGATAAAAATTTGCATCAGAATGTTACACATCGGTCTTCTATCACTGCCAAGAAGAGGCTAATTTTGAACTTATAATTCAGTGGATGAGGTGCTAAAGCGTAGACTAATGAAGGCTGTTTAAAGAACATTCTATGTGGTCACTTTGTTAATCACCTCTACTGATCATTCAAAGGTGATCACATGTGGAAAGGACAAACTGTCACTGCAAGCCACTTCCGTGTACATATATCAAGTCACCTTCTCCTGTAGAGCTAGGTATATAGGACGTACGCAGAGACAGATTGTTCAGCGCCAACGCCAAGACTTTCCAGCATGGCTCAGTAGAAGTCAACGCAGATCAGTCAACAGCTCTATATTCGAAAATTATTTGGTTGAAAGGTGATACATTTCCTGAAGATTTGTTGACACTAATCTACTAAGTACAGGGTAATCTGAAAGGCGTAATGAAACGTTTACTTTGCATTGCTGAAGGTCGGTCAATACCACAGTCGAAACCGGAATTGTGTATGCAGAGGCAACTTTACAATTCTCAGTCCTTATTCACTTCTTAATTCTTAGACTTTTCAATTATTCAGCCTTAATAATCTCTTAATTTCCATGTTTTCATGATATGAATGATTTCCCTTCAGTTCACTTACCAATGGTCGAAAATACATCTAGCTCAGATGGATGATTTTGTTTGTGTTGTGTTCTTTGAGCGGGGTGGCTTAATCTTAAAGCTTTCATTGTCTTTCTAGACAACATCAGTAATAACGTCTGTATGAAGTGAGCCCTCTATATCTCTCCCTGAGTAGTGATTTAGTAGCTTGCCCTGACGAACTAGTTTGTGATTGATTGTTTGCTTTGATTATTGTGTCATTGACTGCATAGATTTTCTTGTTGGCTGTTCCTCTGCTTGATCCCTTACCTTTTTGTTGTTTATCGTTTTTCTCATTGGTTGATAGACTACGTCTGTGTCTCTACATTTATTGATTACTGACTAACTTAAAAGCCAAGCTTCTAGGAATTCTCTAAAATCCTTTGTGTTTCTTCTGTCTAAGATTTCTACATTGTCAAAATTGAATTCATGTCCATAATTATCTACATGCATTGAAATGAATGGTGAAATATCTTGACGTTTAATTGCCAATTAGTGTTCGTGTAAACGAGAACGAAGAGGGTGACCGCTTTGTCCAGTTGATCAAAATAACTGAAGTTGATTTTATAAATGATATTCGCTTTGTCTTCTTCGGTTGTTGCTTCCTTCGGTCTTCATGATAGCGTTTGGAGGGAATTTGTTGGTTCATGAGCTACACCGATGCCAAGTGGTTTCAGTAATCTTGTCGTGATCTCTGATACATTTTTTTTGTACGGTAGGATAATCTATTTATTGATTTCTGTCGATGACTTTGTAGTCGATGTTGTACAGGGTAAGCATCTTGTGATAAATTTTCGTGAGTAGCTGTTCTTCTTTAGGATGAACATCGAGTAATTCTCTTCATTTCTCCGTGAAGATGTTGTACTCCAGTGTGCTCTCACTCTTTTGAATAGAGTCAGCACACAACTAGTATTGTGTGTTGTTGGGTTGTTGCTACTGTAGTTGAGGATTTGATCAGTGTGTTTTGGCTTCCTGTACACTTGGGTTTTTTGCTTTCCGGTATTTGTCTTACTTACTAAAACATCCAGGAATGGTAGTTGGTTGTTCATCTCCTCCATTGTGAATTTGATGTCACTGAAAGCGTTGTTGATCAAACTGTGAGTGTTTTCTGTATCATCTTTCTTAATGATGACAAAAGTATCGTCTACATAGAGAATCCAAATTTTTGGTTTAATCACAAGCAGAATGATGACTTCCAGTCTCTGTGTCATTACTTCTGTGATTAGTCCGAATATCGGTGATCCCATTGGAGTTTCTTTCATCTGTTTGTATATCTTGCCATTAAAGTGGAAGTATGTTGTCAGGCATAGGTCGATGAGTTCCATCAGACTTGAATATTTTAGTTTCATGCGTTCTGAAAGGCTTGTGTCTTCAGTGAACAGAAGGGACATAGTTTCCTTGACCGATTGGGGTTCGATGAATGTGTATAGGGCTGTAACATTAATTCGTCGTTTTTTATATTGATGCTTTTGATCTTTTATAACAATTCTGTTGGTGATTTGATGAAATGTCCATACGATTGAAGGAGTTGTTTTAGTTTCCTCGAAAGTTCTCGGGATATGGTGTATATTGGATTTTCCGGAAGTGAGACTATTGGTTTTGGTGTGATGTCTGGTTTGTGTAGTTTTGGCCTGCTGTAAAACTGAGGAGCGACAGGTCCATTCGATTTCATTTGCTACTTGTTCTGCTTTAAAGAGCTTGTTCAAGATTTTGTTGTTCTGATTGTCGAACTTTTGGATAGAGTTGACTTCAAATGGTCGATACACATTTTCGTCGAAGTAAATCCTCTGACTTCTTGATGTAGTTATCTTTGTCCATGACTACAGTTGTGAGTCGTTTTTCTCCTGGAAGTATAACGATATCCTTCTTTTTTTCAGTGTTTTCTAAGCTCTTCTATTTTTGTCAAAAATGGAGGTACTTCTTCAGAAAGGTTTGAACTACAATGCAAAGGATGTCTCAAAACCAGGATTCTTCACTGTATTAGAACCCTCGCATAAAACAGGATTAAATGAGGATACTTAACAAGAAATACGGCAAACAATCGTACCACTGATCAGACGGAAGAGATATCACACTCAAACGAATACTCAGGAACAGCAATCAGTAGATGTATATACAATAGACCCAATCTATTAACCGGTAATAAAAATGATAAACAACAAAAAGGTCACAGGTCAATCAGAGAAACTAGAAAATCTATGCAGTCTAAGGCACAACAATCAAAGGAAGTGACTAATCACAAACCAATTCGTCAGGGCAAGCTACTCAATCACTCACGGAGAGATATTGACAGATCACTTCATATTGGAGTTATTGCTGATGATGTTATCTAGAAAGACAGTGAAAGCTTCACGAATAAACCACTCAGCTCAGGGAACACAACAACGATAACGTACTAATTTCTAATTCATGCACTTTGTTATAAATTCTCTACTTCTTGTTTTCAACTCACTATTACTCACCTTGTCAATTACTTTCACTTTTCCTATTTATTATCAATTCTTAGATTATTTTACTGGGCATGAACATTAAAAAATAGTTGATTAACTTATACTGACATTATTGTCCACACCAGCTGTATTGAAGTGCGACTGTACAGTTACAAAAGGTGATATCAATAAAGAGAAATTTGTTGTCAGAAATCGCTATTTCTTTTCTAGTCAGTGGGAATATTTAACTCCTTAAAGAACGCTGATTGTAAACCTAAGCGGCATGCTATCCCGTAATCACTGAGATAGTTTATCTAAAATTTTGAAGAGAAATATACCGCCTTGTTTAGTCTAACCTATGTCGCTTAGTAATGAATTCAGTATCTAGAGTTTTTTAATTCACCCACTCAGTTCACAAACTGGTGCCTGATTTCGAACTGTAATCAAAATCTACCTATCATTATGTCTAAGGATGCGTTCACACCTTGTCTTTACGTAATAGTATTATAATAGATTTTCGTTTCTTTCTCTATCTTATGGTTTTCAGCAGTTAGTGATATTGTTATTATGTATTATATTCTCTGCTACCTTGTCGATTTACTGTGGATTTTCCTCTGACCAATATCCAGTAATGCTAAGTGTTAAATTGTTCATATCTTTTTAATTGTCCTCTATCCGGCAACTGATTGAATGAATTACCCATGAAATGATAGGACTTATGAATTTCCTAATCACTGAACGCTTTAGAACATCCAAATTCCTTCTGTAGACTTCTGTTAGGATTTATTTTGGTTGTATGTATTTGTTCAAGATGTGTATAGTTCGTTTTATTGATTATCCTCTACAATGTATCAGAAATCAATTTTGTGAAGTTTTATTTGATACATCTCTATATTCATCATTGATATCACATACAATCTTCGTGAATAAATCGTAACATTTACAAAAAAAAAAAAACTAATTCACTGTTCATTTCATTCAATTACAATTTCACCTATCATTTTATATCACACTTTTAGTCATAATAGCCAATAACATCAGTGGCTCAAAGATAAATTTTCACTGGTTAGCCAACATCTTTGATAATAGACACTGAGAAGTGGGATTTTGCGGCGTTTTAAAAATGTTTCCCTACCTGATTAATTAATCGGTCAGTCTACTCGATGATTTTTAAATGATTGTCTTTCAGTAAAGCTACATTCTGTAATGTTATTTATAGTGACTTTCGAATCAGTTATTATATATATATCATCTGAGTGGAAGGATATAGCTTTCAACCAATGGGTCGTGGGTTTGACCAACCAGGTAGTGACATTAACCTTCACACAATAGCTGTAGCTCATTGCCTACTACATAAATGTCCTCAAGGTTCAAAAAATTATCATTTGTAAAAACAACTGTATGGTATTTAGTATTACTATCGATCTTTGTATGATTATGTTTCACCTACTTTATGTTTGTTTTTTCAACCTTTCTTTTATTAATATAAAGGTGTGAGTTCACAAAAAGTCAACCAACCATTGGAGATCATGTTTGATAAACCATTCACAGACGCTATAGACATTCGGTTAGTGTTCATGATGTTATTAATAGTATTAGTACCCTAGTAATTTTTATTAACTTATATAAAAGTTGTTTAATGCACTTGAAAGTTGATAAATGAATAAACCTCCTATCTACTTGTTCTTGTCATGTTATTGTGAATTGTATCAACTTGGACCGATGCTCTTCTTTTCGAGATTCAACGTTGATTTTGTGTCTGTTTCTGGTTTTTATCTACAGTATTTGGTTAACTCGTTGCTTTTTTATATCACGGATATATATATATATATATATATATATATATATATATATATCTTCTAAGAACTTGTTTATGTTTTAATCTTGTAGGCTAAACAGACTGACACCACAACATGTAGTCTCTCACATAGAAGTGCACCAATTCAAATTGAGTATACTTCTTAAGTATGCCATAAAGAATAGTTCAAAAAGGTGAAATCTTACTAAATGACATGAGTGAATAGTACAAGTGAACCATTGTTGTCAGTTTTAATCTGTATCGCTTTGGTTCTACAGCTAGTAATCATTATAATATTTGAGAAGTTTCTATTACCCTCACCCCCGTTCCCACAGACCTGTCGTCAAAATCGGAGACACAGTAATATTTATCATTATGGGTAATAAGTGATTAATGTAGTCAGTTTTGTCTTTACGACTCTGATACATATATTCTCATCTTATGAATTTGCCTATTTTATGTGTTCCTTCTTGTCTTGCAGTCTTAAAAACGTTTCTATTGATTATCCAACGGGTACTTTTTGATAAAACGTCTTTTTCTTATGTACGTATGGATTGTTTAATGAAGACGTTCAGACCTCATCCTCAATAATCTCTTGGATCGTCGAAAATAGAATAAGTCGTAATATATATATTATTTTATTATCATTATTTGTCCCCTGGGTTCCTAGTGGAACACACGGCTTCAGTGGCACATCGCCATTTCACTCTCTTCTCTATATTCTTTTCTTCTAACCTGTCTCCATGACTCCCCACAAGCTTTCATTTGTTCCTCACATCCGCCTTCTCAGGGTATGCCCAATATAATCCATCTCCACTTTCTTCTGCACATTTGTTGGGTGATAGGTTCTTGGTTGATTCGTTGCCAGAGTTCTTTATTGGTTATTCTTTCTGGTCATCTGATCTTCAGTATCGAGTGAGCTTAGGCGGCATCTGTTGATGAATGCCTGTAGTTTATTGGAAATGCTTTTCGTAACGCACCAAGTTTCTCAACCATCACATAAAAACACTGACTTGACTGACATTAGTGTTGAAAATTCGGATCTTGTTCTCTATGCTGAGTGCAATAGATCTCCACACTGGTTTCAGGTTAATGAAGGCCTGTCTTGCTGTCTTTTTGATCCTGCCTACTTTGACATTGTCATCTGTGCCGCCACCTGTGGTCAAAACGATGATACCTAGGTAGCTAGGTGTACGAGACAGCTTTCATTTCGATTTCTACCGTTGGTCGTAATTGGTGCTTGTTGTTGGTTGGGTATCTTGATCACCTCTGTCTTCTCTACGTTCACCAGGAAAAAATTCCGTCCTCGCTGCCCTTGCTTTTCTGCGAACTCGTTAGTTTTCGCCTGTACATCTTTGAGTTTGTGCAACAAGATATTAGACATAAATTATGATCGGCGAAATCCAAATCCTCTAGGGTCTTCTCGTCTGTCTAGCGTATATCCATCTTCTCGTTCCTCACGGTTTGATGCATGATCCGGTCCACCACAATTAGCAAGATGATCGGTGATAGTCGGCAGTCTTGTCTTACTCCTGTCTTCACTTTAAAGGCGTCGCTGAGCTTTCCGTTGTGGATCAATTGGCATGTGGCGTCGTCATATAGTTGTTGAATGAGGTTTTTAAAAATTTTTGGCACTAAAACTGTAGTGTTGAAGCAGTTGCCAAATTACTTCTAGGTCGACGCTGAATATATATATATATATATATATATATATATATATATATATATATATGATGGCCTTGCCGTTCTCAGGCCCTTTTTTAAAGGACAGTCTCTACTAACTCTATCTTCGTAACCGATTAAAGTTGTTTGTGCCTTTCCGTTAAATCCAAAGCAAAACTAGTTGGTTATGAAAGCGTAAAGGATCTAGACAATAACATTGCACACCTCAATAAATATGATGCGAATGAATTAGATAGGCAGTCATTACGCGTAGTTGAGTTCTTACCTGTTTCTTGTTCAGATAGTTATGACCATTAAATATATAAATCAACTTAATAGATTATGATTTGTTTCTTATTTTGAGAGTTAACTTAAAGTATGTCGAATTCACCTGATACTTCATGTATATTTTATTATGCTCAAAGGTTTAGTTAGTTAACCAGTATATTGATACAGTAAATTTTAATCATGGTATACAGTTTGGTGAAAGGTAAATAAGTGAGTTTTCCTAATCTTATTTTATTGAATAATCTAAACAAGTTGGAAATACTTATGAAGATACATAACTGTTGCATTAATCCACTATATTTCAAGCCTATAAAATTTGCTTCATATATATATATATATATATATATATATATATATATATATATATGTATATATATATACCATAGGTTATTAAATTGCTCCATGCTGTTTTACATTATTTTGTTAATGTAACCTGTCACCTGATATTGTTTTACATCTTATTATATGTTTTATAGAATTTACCGCTTTATCTAAGGATTCAATATAATTTCATCCTTTGTTCGAAACTTTCAAAAAATTATCAGCATTCATACATGTGTAAAGTTATACTCTCATAAATACGACAATATCATTTTGAGTTGCTGATTTTTTTGTTTTGAATAATCACATTTTATTTTCTGCTTATGTGTAAAGTAAGTATAAAACTTGATACAAACATTAGTAGATCAACGTATATATAGACAGTTTCACGTTTTTTTTTTACAATTTTGTAGCTTAAGCGAAATCAATGTATTCTCATGTATGATGTATGTAGCTTTTGGGTTAGTTAGTGATTATTAAATTCTAACCACTGTTGTTTACTAGGGCAAGTGTATGTTACACTGATCATCTAGACTTGAAAAACCTTTTTTTTTCTTACCACTGTGCAACATTTATGGAGCTAGTCATATGACAGAGGGGGAGATGTATATTTGCGTTTGTTGTGTTGCATCACCTCTTCTTTTTCAGATAGTTTCAATGACAAGTAGTAACAATCACTGATGATATTAACATTTCTAAGTTATGATTTTTCTTTCATTCTTAAAACAATTAAAGACTTTAATTTCAACTGACTGACATATCCGGATGGTTATCGAAGATTTAAAATATGTGAAAGTTACACATTTTCATCATGTCTATTGGTACCATTCTTCTCGTGTATGGAAATTACTGAGTGAACAATGTAGAAATTTATCATATGATAAGGTGAATGATTTAGTCTATGAGATTATAAACCATAAATCGAAAAACAACTTAGCCATTTATCTCCCTTACGGAGCTACTGTCTACCTGGACAGGATTGGGATGGAAGAAAGGCAACGTATATATGGCTCATTGATTTAGGGAGTTAACTTTCAACCAGTTGGTTACATGTTAGAACATCTCTCCGCCTACCGAGGAAAGCACAGCCAGGTAATCTCACTAAGCCCTTCATACGACGGTGTGACTCATCACTTACTACTCTAAGTGCATTTCTGTTTGAAAGGTGGTCACACTAAAGCAAGCGTGTCGTCCGTTCATGAAATCCTCATTTGTTTATATGAGGTTTTATCGAAAAGTTCAAACTGAGATCCTAGAGATGTTAGTAGTAAATCTTTGGCATACTTGTTGTCGTGATTCACATTCGATCACAATAGTAAAAATGTGCTCATTTATCTATTCCTTCTGTAGTTCACTTTTGTCGACTTCAGCATCCTTCTTTTTCATTTCTTCTTTATGTGCTGTCATGAAGTGTTCTGCGTTCTACATTCATCTGTATGTTTCTAATTACAGCGTAGGAATTAAGTTCAACTCTACCTTAACTTCTGTCATTTCTCTTTACTTTTTTGCCTGGAAAAGATCATAGGATGGCTGAATATGTTCGAAATGCAAAATACAATAGGTATTCAACAGTTATACAAAACATATGTTAAAATAAGCGTCATAACAGTTGATCACATTTAAACTGCGAAAATACTATTATTCACCGCAAGTATGTTTATCAAAACGGAGTACAGTACATGTGATTGATATTGTAGTGAAATAAAACGATTTAGCGACAGTGTCAAAAAAGTTCATGAATCGGTTTAATAACCTTTTTGAGGGAGTTGTGGAGATTTGGAAATATTTCAAGTTGTTACTCATCGCAGACTGACATCACTTGAAGGAACAAAGGAAACCTGGGAGCACTGGACATCTGTTTCGTCCTAGTATGGGACTCTTCAGCAGGCAGCGGGTTCGATCCCTGGCGGGGTCGTGGGTGCGCACTGCTGAGGAGTCCCATACTAGGACGAAACAGCTGTCTAGTGCTCCCAGGTTTCCTTTGTTCCTCCAACTGATGTCAGTCTACGATGAATAACAACTTAATAACCTTTGCTAGAGCCTTTATCCATAGTTGTTATGAATATTCTAGAAGTTGAGCGCCGAGTCTGATTGAATCATTATAAGAATATATTATAATATAATCGCAGTGTGTTTAGATAATCAAAACAAGTTATTTTTGAATGTTTCGCTGTGTAACCGACATCTTCACGAGAATATACAAGTTTTTATCAACATCAAAATATATTGCCAAATGATACATCGAATATATTTAGTGAACGTAGGTCATTGGTTCTCCTTTCTATCCCGAGTAATTAAGATAAATCATTATTATTATTATTATTATTAGTCCCTTGGGTTCCTAGTGGAACATAGGGCTTCAGTAGCACGCCTCCAGTGACCTCTGTTCTCTGAGATCTTTTGAACCTGGTCCCACGACAGCCCAGAAGCTCTCATTTCTTCCTCGCACGACCTCCTCCATGTCACCCTCGGACGTCCAACTCGTCGCTTCCCATGGG